AAACTAATCAGATGCTTCGAAATAATATCTACTTTTCTGTGTGATATACATACTCCTAATGGAACTCCAAGCCAAATGAATATTAATTTTTTAACAACATCTAAACAGATATTGTGCATGTAATCAATTGGAAAGTATGTTACTAAATCGATTGGTAAAGATAATAAAGGCGTTGTACCTATATGATGATTAGAGACCCTTAAAATAAGAGACTGGTCAATGTCGACTAGCACGTTTGATTGGTTGGAAAGAAAATGGCGGCACCAATCAGTGAGGATCGAGCAGGCGGAATATTTGAAAGATAGAAATATGAAGAACAATAGTAAAAACACATGTATATCTGTATAATATTTAGTAAATAAATATAAGAACTCTGATGATTGACTGTTTGGAACAAATATACATAATATATTGTCCACACCAAGAAGGAAGGAAGGAAATATGAGAACTATTGACAGTTATATTGAAATGTTATTTATTTTACAATATTGTACATTGCCATGGTTTTATTATTAAATACAGGTTTATCTAGTCGTTTCGCATGACAACTTTGTTTCACCTTAAATTTTATAAAACGCAGTTTTATTTTATAACCTAATGCGTGACAATCTTTTAAGGTATCGCAGACAATATTATTCATTTTTGTAATAAAAAAATGAACAATATCACAATTTACCGTTTTAACATAATTCAAATATCTTTTAATAATAATATTCATTTCAAGAAAATAATAGAAGGTATTTTTGTTAACAAAAAATAATGTATTCTTTTGATAACATTTTATACTAACTAAACGTGAATATGTTATATTGGGATCATACGTCTTTGATCCAGCAGAATCAATACAATCTGGGCACACTTTGTAAGTTTTACATATACTAGTGATAATATAACCACATACATAATATAATGAATTTAATTCCAGATTATCTAATTTCATTATTTTGGTTTCAATTTCAGGTGGAATTACAAGTATTTGTGTACATTCTTTATTTACATGTTGTCGCATAGGACGTTTTAAAAAGTCAGCCAACAAATCACCACTATCTTGTTTATAATTAGTGTTTGATAGGTTTTGCAAATACTGAGAAACAGTGAATATTTTTAAACTTTGTTTAAACTGCAGTGCGTTCGGTGTGGGAAATTTTTTCCTAATATTTGAAAAGAGATTTTCAACAAAATCGTTAGAAAAACGAGCTCCTATTACGTATAAATAATGGCGTTCTTTAATTAAATACTCAGCTACTTCGATATAAGATTTGGTTGTTATAATAAGGCCAGTTTGTACAGGTTTGAATATACCTTGGTTTCCTACTTTCATTTCGCAAAATAAATCAATACATGATTCCAAAAATGCTATGGTTTGTGTATATGTTTCTTCTGATTTCTCATTTCCAGGTTTCTTTCTTAAAGCAAGTATTTCATCGTGCGTAGTAATCAGAGCAAACCATTTGGAAACAATTTCAATAAATCTCGCTGTAGTTAAATATTCATTTTTATGACGTTCTTCACTTAGATAATCCAAAGCATTACTTACGTGTGTACTCAACATATTATGTGCTTTGTTTACTCTCATTTTGTTAAATCGCGTTAGAGTAATGACCTCTTTGTTTAATTTAGAAGCTAATTTGATATCTAAATTTTCTTGTTCTTGTACCAACTCTTCCAAATGTGAAAATTTAACAACGCACGATGATAGTTTATGAGTTTGAACAAATTTGTCTGGCAATGCTATCAGTTTATTATTAATAATAGCGGCTCTGAGATTTTTTAAAAGGTGTGGGCTATCAGCAAAAAAATATAACTTTCGAGTATTATCCATTGGATGAGGTACAGAATTTCGTATTATAGAATGTCTATGCAAACCAACATTGAAAGCTCTCCATATAGCTTGATTAGTACTTCCCATATCGGATGTAATACTGTGTACTCGAAGACCTATTGATTCAGCCTTTTTAATGATTGTTTCTATAATAGGTTTTAAACGTGCACCATTAAAGCCACCAGGAGTATATTTATATGCTACCACTTGCTTCCACCGATGAAATATGCCAGCAAGCATAAATACCAAGCCATGCGTAGCTGTAGTGTTTTCTCCTTAAAAGTGTGTGAAGTAGCAAATGAAACCAAATGATCAATTATCAATTATCAATTATCATTTACCCTATATATTGTTACAAATTGAATTGTGCAGGAATTACCACGACTGTTAGGAATAGTAGAATTTCCTATAAGTGAATTTGTACAAGAATCAAATTGTTCACCGGGTGTTATAGCTACTTCATCAAAGCCAAGCATGCAATCGCAATGTCTGTAAACTGTCTAATTGTTTCCTTCATAGCGTCAAAAACGTCGTCTAATATTCCAGAGGAAAAATCCAAACCTTCAACAGATCTTCTTAAGGTACGCAGTGAAGGTAACGGAATATTTTCTTTAATCAACTGCGCATAACCACTACTGGTACAACAAGCTTTTATGCGAAGAGCTTTCTTAATAGTTTCCTTTGACCAACTACTAATGCGTCGCTTACTAGAATCTGATTGTAACCATCGAATTTGATCATCGTTAAACACTTTATGTAGAATCGTTTTTTCTAGTCGCAGTTTATGCGTGCTGAATTTTTTAACACGATTCATGAGAATTTTGTTCGAGTGTTTCAACTTATCATGATCTTTTTGTAATTTCGTAAATTTTTCGTTTGCTTCTTTTACCTGTATACCTCTATCTTCTAGTTTCTGTTGTAACAAATGTATTTCTTCAACAGCATGCTCCAATGTAAACGCTGTTGTATTACATGATGATGTTGCTACACAAATATTTGTCTCATCATTTCTATTCACATTATTACTAGAAGATAATAAGATATAAATACCTGAATCATTCAGTTGATCATATGATTGAAAACTGCCAGAAAACAATACAGAATTATCTTCAAATTGACTGTTATCTGTATCAATGCTTATGGATTTTTCAATGTGTTCATTGTCGCCTTCAGTAGTTCGTAATTTCTGTACTTGTAATTCATGTTCATCGAGAAATATATTAGTTGTTTCAGGTAACTGTTTTTCATAAATAGAAAAAATAGTTGGTATGGCATCTCTTCTCAATTTTTTCGTACCATCTTGTCGAGGTTTCTCCCACATATTTGGAGCAAAATGGATCTATATGTACAATCGCAAGATACACATTTTTTTCCTATTATTTGGCCGTAGTTATGCAAGAAACAACCAACCCACATGGACTACGTTTCGAGAAAAATAAAGATAAAGATTTGACGCATGATTTATAAACTACAGATAGTATTGAAATTCTGTATAATTGTTCAAGAAATCAAGCATGGTTAAGTTTCTACTCTTTAGAGGTATACATTGGTAAGCTTAATTCTTAAATAAATTTAGTAAAAAAGACGTAATTAGGAAAAATAGTGCGACTGATAGAAAATAAAAATTGTTTTTTAATTAATTTTAGACGCCCATGGGGCTTGGATCGTTTTCCTATTACATAGAAAGACGAATGGACTACTCATTGGTAACAAAAATTCAAAAATTTTAATTTTGTGGGTTGGTTGCTTCTTACATAACTACGGCCATTTATGTATTTCATATAATTATATGCTCACTTCACAAATACATGACTTATTTGGTTGCCACTTTTCTCTTCTAATGGACTGTAACCATAACATTTTTCTTTGCGGATCTGTTGGAAAATTAATTAACATAAATCCGCCTTCGGTTCTGTTTTTACACCCCAATATGCTACAACCCGTCATTATCTGCAAACATTTTCGGTTTTGATTATGTATTTCAGATTCACATATATAAATTATAAAAGATATTTTTAATAGATTGTAGATTTATAGATTATATTTCAGTTGTATTATTTCCATTGCTTTTATTATGATATCTTATTTTGATTCACATAGTTTTAGTTTAAATTCATGCTTACCTCTATATATTACATATTATTTATTTATAATTACTGCAATAATATTTATATACGTTACGCATCGCGATATGTTACGCATCGTTCGTCGTTTGGTTAGTAACGCTGCGACCATTGCGAGCGTTAAATGGAATGCAACCTGCGTCCGCCATTTTTCATCCAACTAGAATTAGAACTAGAACGTTGACCAGTCTCTTATATTTAGGGTCTCTAATGATGATCATCATCAATGTTCCTTCTAAATGAATTGTTAGTTCGTTTTGCTGCAGTAAAATTTGGAAACACAATTTTATGTTTATAATATTCACCTGGCTCTGTACATTTATCACAAGATGAATAGCCTGTATGTTGTTTCGTACATTTTAAGAAAGCGCGGGCAGGCGCATCGCATATAAAACTGTGGATTTCAATGAAATACATATGTTCTTTAAACGTAAACCCATGTGTGAGCAGTGCATTAAGTTCAACGATAAACTTATTCAAAAACTGATCAAGTGGTTTTGGCTTGGCTGTTCCACAAAAAACAGAAATAGTAAACGGCGGTATACCTGTAACATTTTTTATCATACTTAAAATTGGCCATAACTGTAACTTTGAGCTTTTGAATAAAGGAATTCCGTCAACATTAAAACTAATTTTTAATGTTTCGCCGACTTTTAAATTTATACTTTGAGATGTTAAACAGTGTATTAATGCATATTCCAAACCAAAATAATAGAAATCTCCTGTATCTAATTTAATAATATTTGGAGTCGTTCTTGGTGTTTTTAATAATACGCGACCATCAATCGGTAAAGAAGGATGATATTGAGCTAATATTCGAAGCAGATTATTCAAAGATGATCGCGAAACGTTATACTTCAAAGCCCAAGTTCTTAATTCTTGCAAAATACAATTCTCATTCTCATCTTGTAATATAATTGAGCTTGAATTGTCGCTACTTATACTTGAAATATTATATTCATGGGAATAATTACTTTGTAAATCTAAATTATTGAAATATATGTTAGTCGTATTTTCATTAACTAAATTATTGTGGCTAGTTGATGATTCAGCTGTATTGCTATTATATATTCTAGAACATTCTGTATTCAAACATGCATTATTCACGTTAAAATTAACAATATTACTTTGTTTCATCATTACTTATTTCGTTAGCAAATAATGTTTTTTCTGTGTCATATATTCCATCGGAATTATCACATAAATTAAACGATTGTTTGTGAGAAATAACATTTGAATTATGCTGAATCGTATTAAAAAATGTATCCTTTACAGCTTCTGCAACTCTTCTATATTGCTGTCGTCGCATAACATATTTTCGTTTCCGCCTCGTTTTTGGTATGTTTAAACAATAATATAAAATATCACAAACAGATAATTACGAAAACACTTATACAGGGAATGTAATGCTCTTATATACCTTAATATTAAACGTATTTATAATGAAACAAATTCCTATTTTATAGTTGTTGTTTTCTCTTTTTTTCAACCGTCAACCGTTGGTGAGCGTGTTTCAGCCAGATTTTAATCGCGTTTTCTATATCATGATCAGTACTAGACGATGATTGTTTATGCACTGCACCTGCAATAATACAATATAATGTACAACGTACAACTTGTTCATATTGTTTAATTGCACATATACAAACACTTACATAGTACCACTGTTTTCATTTTCAGAGTTCCAAAAGGTCGTTTATTTTTTCTTTGTCCAAGAAAATTATAATCATTAGCTAATTCGTTGTTAAGCATTTTTCGCAGGATTCTATTTGTTCGTGAAGCAGTAATAGTACCGCCTAAAGACGACAAGTATGATGACTGCAAACAATTAAATAATCAGTAAACTATTATCACCGATGGTATTCATTATATTACATGTGCATTTTACCAGACGATTTTGCTTCTCGCTAGAATCCAAATAGTGTTCAAGTACTTGTATGTCCTCATGCGTGTTAAGTGGAAATTGCACAGGAAAGTCCGGTGGTAAAGAAAGTATGTCAGTAGAAAGCATTGAATTTTCAATAAGCCCTCGTACTTCTTTTATTTCTTCTCTAGCTTTTTTTATTTCACTAAAAGCTTTAACTATATATAAATGTTATTAAGACTGTTAAAACAATAATGAAGTAAACATATTCTGTATTAAATAATGCACATACTTATACCACCTAAAATTTGCCCTCCACAAGATGAGCAAGAGGATTCATCTAAACATCAAATGATCACATATATATATGTAATATAAATATAACAATTATACAAATATATTTGCATTATATTAACCCATTACTTTATTAACTTCTAAATCTCGTATTCGCATTGTGCTTTTGAAAATTAACTTCAAACTGTAATAATATATAGCATGTATAATTAATTTCAATTTATAGTATATGCATACGAAAATAAAAACATACTCAAAGTATTTGAGCTATTACATGGGTTTACAGTTACCGCCTTGCTAGATGAGGTATATATTTCAGCATCTGTTATTTCGTTAGAATGCTCTAGAAATAAATATAACATAAAAACGATATAAAATACTAAATAATGTATATTACTACTATGTATAAACTGTTTTACAATACAAATACAATAAGTTACTCACGTCTTTGGTTGTCATTAGTATAATCAGTAGATAGTTTCAATATCTGTTCTTCAGGCCGATGTAATTGCACTAAATTTGCAAAGAAACGATTATGTATCTTATATTATCTCAGCCGGCACACTCTCGTCATTTTGACGTTATAGACGTGAAAAATGACGTAAAAATGACGTCTATGACGTCAAAATGACGAAGGTGTGCCAGCTGGATATACTTGCACAAATAAATATATTTTATGTCTCAATAAGAATAATATTACAATTGTAAAATTGTTTATAACAGTAAATGTCATACACAAAGCATAAAAAGCACAAAAAGTTATTTGCTATTTATATAGAATATTAGATTGGAATTGCAACACACGATAATTATAAAATGAAAAGGAGAATTAATCTCAGATAGCCAAACATGCGCAAACAGATTTCGAATAATATGTGTTACAAATGTTTGTTGGCAGAAAGACAACAAATCTGACACAGGATCTGTTCTATTTCAGTATATTGCCAAGCTGCCGCCAAAAATTTGACATGATCTGCTGGCAGGCAATCTGAGCACAGAAAATTTGACATGATCTGCTGGCAGAAAACGAGCAGAGCCTGTAGTAATCTGCCGTCACATTCTGTCAGCAAACGCTTTCGACAGAACACGATCTGAAGGCGGACACAGATGTTTATAGATCTGTCGACAGATCCTGATCACATCTGTCGCCAATCTGCTAACAGATTGTTAACTGGGAATATTACTGCAATACGTATATATGTAACACTTACTGAACAATAATGTAGATTCGTATAATAGTAGATATTATATTAACGAAAGTATATGCATTATTCGAACTATGTCAAAGTTCGACAGAAAAAGTTGCTTAGTAAATATTTTGTGCTGGGCTGGCAGCAGCTTTGCAATTGCTTTTTCTGCCAAATACAATTATTAAGTTGGATTTCAATTGAACAAACATTATTTATCATATTTAACTTATACTTCTTAGCTTAACGTATAAGCATATGTAACATGTTATTACCTTCTTTGATAATTTTTGGTGGACGTGGTAAAACTGATATTTCTATACTGCTATTGTTATTTTCGTCGTCACTACTGGAAAAATATTTACGGTTCTTTTTTCTATTTCTGCCGTGTTCAATATCAGATACATAAGATTGTACATCTGATGACGTTTCACATTTTTTAAGCTTTGCGTGAGCTTTTTGAAGATCATCTACAAACAAATATGATGCTTACTGTATATGGCAAACGACATAAATAAACCATCACCATCATAATTACTGTTTTTGACTGTAATACATACCACATTCAAAAAATTTTCGTTTTATATTATACAGTTGCCAGGTATGTTCATTCGGTTCTTCTCCGTAGAAAAGAACTTTATTAAAACGCGATATTGTTTTATAGGGCGGCCATAGAACATTCTTTTTGCGTGGAGTAAGCCACTTTACATGAACAATGGCTATTTCGCCACTGTTATCGTTATCGTCGTTGTGAAATTCAATTCCACAATAAGCCATAACATATAACCTATAACAGGTATGAACCTAACATGCTACAATCATTAGAATGCATCAGTTTATTACTGTGTGGATATACGGACTGTAACATTTTATACCGCTTAACACACAGCGAAGTACTTACGTAATTGTGACCAGTACTAGTAAATACAACGCACTACACGGAGATAATTGCCATACAGAAACGCACAGCTCAACCATTTGCCGCATGCGCGGAATCATTATGGTTTGCAAAATACGTTTTAGAGACGTCCACTGGACGTTATTATGACGTGTAGACATGACGTGATTATGTAGTCATTCAAATGACGTCATATTTTCGGACCTATTTGGTCACCTGACGTCATTCGTCCGAACATGACCAGTTTTCGACGTCAAAATGACGAGTGTGTGCCAGCTGGGCTCTTACTCCATCCCATGTCATAAGAAATTATAATACTGATAATTTCACCTAATCCGGCGTCAAATGCTTTGTCCGTATTTTTAACGTTATTGTTCAGGGGATGCAATGCAACATTAGTATCGGTAGATAAATGAAGACTTTGCAAATTAGAATATATGTCATTAAATATATCAGAAGACCTATAATAGTAAAAATATCAAAATATATAATAATCAAATGTAGTTACCGGCTTGTTTATGATAAATATCAAATAATAATAATAATATTTAATAATATTAAATATATAAATAAAAACTGATGCTAAATGCTCTATATTAAAAGGGATCAAAATATATACATAAACACAAAATATATAAAAAAATAATATTTATTATATATACATATTGTTACGTCCCGTGGAATTTTATTGGATTCAATAGAATTTATTTGATAACGTGGATATGACTATGAGGAAAGCGCCCCTGTACGGAGAACAATACACGGTTTGCGAAACACATCGAACGACATAGAGGAAGACAAATATTGTTTATTAACTTGGATATCGAAAGGCTTACTGTGATCGGATGGCTGGAACGTCATTGTTTAGGCGTCCGACGGAACGGGAGAACGGAACGGGAGAAGGAGCCCTCGTACGCGCCCGCGTTCCTCCCAGCTGAGATGACGGAACGTCGAACGCTCGCGATATCGCACTCCCGGCTTCCGAAAGTCGCGTCTGTCTTTTCTTGTACGAATGAATTAAGAAGATCGTGAAATTGGTTGAAGTCACGAATACACTTGGTTGCAACAATTGTAATGAGAAAGAACTAGAAAGAAAAAAAAACGAGATATACGAGAATATGAGAGACCGTCACGAGATGGAACTTGAAGATTCTCTAAGTACAATAGTTAAGGAGAGACTTGTGAGCACGCATCCGAAACGTGTGACGGCCTCAACGAGAGTGAAGAAGCGGGCGGTTCGCCGACGGGCCGAGGAGTCCTTCTTCTTTGTGTCGGAGCAAGACGCGAGTTACTCGATCTCCGGATGCAACAACGATAAGAACCCCACCAAAGTGTCGCCTAAACAGTTCGGTTATCTTAGAATGAAAACAATTTACAATTTTATAGTCAACCGCGGGTGGACAATAATGCGGCAATCGCGAATTTAGGTACGACGCTTTACAATGATAGGCCAAAGAAGCGTTCCTGGCGAATTCGGCGCAACAAGTTTAATAATTTTAACGGAGAGTGGCAAACGGGGGTAGTACAATTTTATAATGATAGGTTTTTACTTCTTTACACTACATTTCTAACGCTTTGATCTAATAACCGGGTAATATGTAAAGTTTAGCGAGATGTCGGATGAAAGAAACAAGGTGGAGAATTACGACGCGATATGCCTTGTCTTCCATCCGAGATTCCTGAGAGCGAAGCTGGGCCGTGCTGCTAACGCAAAACAGTTATGAGATTCGTAGAATCATAATGCTTATACTGCAGAGTTACAAAGATAACGATTAGAAAAGTTGTTAACGGTTATAACACAACTTTCCCACACTTAGTGCTTATTTTTCTTGTTAAGAAGCAAGAGATGGGGAAGCTGCATAGTCTGTCCGCTATGATAAAAATAATTTGGAATAATAGTAAGAAATAATAGCCAAGCCCTCGCGCAACCGGCTGTTATTCTTGAGACTACGTAAGCAATGATAAAGCATACGCGCGCTGTAGAAAACGACGTGTCAAATTAACATAGAACAGAAGTGTCGAAAAGAAAGAAAACAGAAAAGAGTAACACAATTCATACGTTGAGTCTGGCACATAAAATGTGTCATCCATACACTTGAGGTATTAGTTTGAACGCAATATGCATGATCATGTCTTTTTGCTAAAATCATGTTAATGCAGTGCATGCATGTAATTTGAGATGCTAGCTTATGTACTACATATCCTCCTATGTAATGCAAAATATTTTGTACAAACATAGAAAGCTCGATGTTGTCTAACATTTCAGTTAAATTATTTAACTGTTTAATATCTTCAGTATTTTCTTTAACGTTTGAAACATGTTTTTGATTTTGAAATTTGAATATTGCTGGTAGATTAGAAGTATCAATGATGCAGTTTGCATTTACGCTTGCACAAATTTTATTTTTAAAAAGCAATTTACGTAAAGCCCACTTAAATTGCAAGCAATTGGGATTGTCATTCCAACCACCTTGATTTCTGATACACGAAAAGTAGAGTTCTAAATTATCTTGAGAACACTTGTAAGGTAGGAAATAATATAAACTATAAGTTGGCATTGAAAATAGATCATTTGCGAGATGAACAAAACTAGATGCATCTAAAATAAATCCTAGCGCAAAAGTTTTCCTATTACAACGAAGTACAGGAACGTCATTAACTTTTAATGACGAGATATACGAAACACTGGAATCAAAAATTTCCTTAAACAGTTTTAAATTTTTTCTTATGGGCGCTTTATAATTTTTTCTAAACGAATTTCGTGCATTCATCATATCGAATAATCTATCAAATATTCTCAAAAATTCGCAAGTGGCTTCGCTACCTTGAAAATCCTTATTACCACTATGTCTTAGAAAATCGATAGCGTCTGCAACACTGCTACTTATAGTTTGTGTGGCCAATCGAACATTCATTTTTTTATTAAAAAATGAAATATGTGCACCACTTATTTTATTTGCTAGCTTGAAATCTTCTTCTTGTAATGAATGCAATTTAAAAAAAAAATTAAAATCTATTTTCCCTTGTGGGCTACTGATATTACTTTCAGCAAAAGTGTTCCTACTCAATTTAATTATGTGACACGGGTCGAGTATGCAATGTATATTACTATTATGTGTTGGATGTCGAAACATTGTTGTAAATGGTTCTTTGGAAAAATAGCAACCAAGTATTTCAAAAGTTTTTTTGTTAGTCCCACATCCATCACATGTTATTGATCGCACGGTTATTCCTATTTCCTGTAGAACTTTAATTGCATGGATTAATAACTGTGCTTAGAGATTAGCATTTAATTTATTAATGTAAAAATAAGCAATTGGACATTTAAATCTACATGTATATGATACTATCTGAAAGACTAGAGCTTCTTTGGCTAACTCTTCCTTATTTTCTACCGCAATATTGCCATAATCTATATATCCTCGGAATTTGTCATTTTGTGCGCCATACAATACTTGACTACGGATAGCCATTGAGTCAAAAATTAAAGCAACGTTTTTTAGGTACGTTTTCTCACAAACTTCTTGTTTTAAAAATTGAATAACTTCAGTCAGAAAACCAACATCACATTTATAGGTACTCATCCATTTTCGCAATGTTGCTGAATGTGGCAAATGCAACTCTTTTTATACAAATGAATATGCCTTTGGAGAGTAAAATGAAAGCATTAATGCAAACTGCTTTATCTCATCTGAATACCTTCTGCGAGAAGGAGAAACTTTTTCATTTTTTAATTCAATTTTTATTAAATCTAAGGTTAACCCTTAAATGACACACGTCAAAAAAATCACATAACTGACACATGGGGTTCTTTGAACCCCAGCATGAAAAAGTTTAATAATTTCGAAAGTTATTAATATTTTGGTCCGATGATTTTTTTACATATATTTGAAATCTTTTACCAGAAGATTTTATAATAGTGGTATCAAAATTTCAATTTTAACATATTGAAAAAATATGCAAAAAAAAAATTTCAGAATTTTCTCTTTTTTGAGAAAAATATTAATAACTTTTTCAATTTCTAATATTTTGAGCTACAGATTTAGGATTATACGTATAAGATGTTATATTTTAAGATAAGAATACTCCCATTAATGGATTTTCAAAAAAGTATATTTATTCTGAAGAATGAAGTGGAAAATTTTTGAGAAATTACAAACACAGTAAATGATTGTTTAGAGCGATTTATTGATTATGAACAAGGTAGAAAAATTATTTAAAGTCATACATTTATAAAGAACACTTAATTGATGATGGGAAACCACCACAAATTTATTCTATACCACCACACTCAACGCACATGTAGACGCGGTGAGTATTGCACATCGGTCGGCGGCATGAAGGGCATAGCTCTTTTGTTTTGCGATCAGTTTTTCGTTCGCAGAGACCACATCTCGTCTTTACAGGTAGATATGGCCTCTCTTCTCCTTTACTTTCAACCTCATCTATATCCAAAATTGCACCAATTGCGATACGCAAATCCCTACATAAGGACGGATTATTTATGCGAGAACGCAAGTAAGGCGTAATCAAATGAAGGCTCAAGTCTTCGAGAGAGTACTTCGCTCGTATTTTGTTCTGATCCAAATTTTGTCTCAAACAATTTAATAAAATGCGTGTATTAAGGGCAGCTTGGTCTAATATGTCGAAAAAATAGCGCATCGGCCAACGGTTAGTTCGCTTCGTTACCGTATATGCGTGACACAGTTGGTCGAACGAATCAGTTCCACCTTTTGTTTTATTATAATGTATAATAATGTTAGGCTTTCCATTTGTAACTTCTGTTGTTTTAGAATAAGATGAAGCAACAATCGCAATTTTATTTTTCTTTGGTATGTGCGACAGCAAAACAATTTCTTTCGAAAAACAAAACTTAGTGTCCGGAATAGTTTTCGATGCAAGTTTGAGTTGTGCAGGAATTTCTGGTTTATTTTTACGAACTATACCAGTAATTGTCAAGTAATATGGTTCTTTAACCCTTTGCGGTCGGCGGCTTTTTCGGCCGAGCGAGGTGCCAGGTCGGAGCGATTTTCGCGAAGGTGTCGCGCCTTACAGGTACAAATAAAATGATCTTATACATAAATTATCTTATAAAAACGTTATATTTTAAGAGTTTATATATATTTACACCTTAACAATGTAATTTCCCAAACTTAATTTCTGTATTTTTCTTTGGTATGGTAATTTGAAAAACATTGACCAAGATGCATTCTTGGTTTTCCTGGACATGTATCACAGTAGTAAGTGGTCTCGTGTCTTCCACCTGGTTTGTTTCGGATGGAACAAACTTTATAATCACTTTTTGTACCACAAAGCATTACGTGAAGTTTTCCATTGAGCCGAATCTCATCCGAGTTGGAGGTCGATGTTGAAGGTCGTCGCTCCTGTCGAAAATCACCTTTCAATTGCTTCACTAAGATTTTCCGGAATTGTAAGTGGTTAAGTGGCCGCTCGTTTCTCTGCTTTTTGACTAATTTGTAGAGAATATAGGAATTGATTAATGAAATTTCTAATCCCCAAAAAAATAATTTACGCCACCACTTCAATGATTTACGCATAAAGGTCGAGGCATACTGATCCGCCAAGTCAACGCCGCCCATGAATTTTATATAATTTACGACAACATCGGGCTTTCTAACAACAGTTTGAACACCATGGCGGAGTGTTCGTTCTACGTTACTCATCGCCGCATTATGAAAATTTGTGAATAACGTAACAATTCGCTTATCTTTCCACTCTACAACAAAATTATCAAGTTTGCGGTAAGCTACCATCGATTTTTCTTTTGGAAGTTGTTTTTTTCTAATCTGGTAACTGTTTTCTATTGGGCATGATTGTCCCAGTCAAATGACACTTCAATTTCTGTAATTCGATCGCCAAGATGTAGCTGGTGTAATACCGGTCGGTAAACATGTGATGTCCCTGCGCACCAGGATCTCTCTATTCAACAGCATTGCATATAAATGCAACGGAATTCTTGTTGATACTGGTAGGTCCGGTCTGATCAATGTTTGTGTTGTAAGGCTGCCATAGTAGGGTAGAATTCCGCAAACATATCCCGTACCGGAATCTGCCAATGTATATATTCGGATGCCCCATTTAATCGGCTTTTTTGGGTTGTACGTAATAAATGAAACCCGTCCTTTGAATTTGACGACAGATTCATCAACACAAATTTCTTTGTCCGGTGTGAAATGGTTCAAAAGTCTGGAGTTTATGTAGTCAAGGTAGCCAGTTATCAGTTGCAAACGTGTTCTGGTGTTGCTACTTGACGCTGAAACTATCTCTGTATGTAGCATCCAAAAAGTTTGGGTAAACCGCTCTCTCGAGAATGTATTCAGGAAAAATGGAATATGACTTGTAGAGTCTTTTGCCCAATATTCCTTTAGATTGGCCGCTGTTATTGTCCCCATATTCACTATAACTGCGATAAATGCCAAAAATTCTGCATTCGTGACATTATACCACGTGTGCCAAATTGATCGCGAGGATAACGCTGTTTCCTCTAACTTTCTTGCAGCATAGCGGTTTGTGTCTGCTACTACCTGGTCCACTAGCTCGTCGGTAAAAAATAACTTGAAAAAATCAAGAGGCTCTACAACACTCGAGGGTACCTGTGGCCCTGCAGGTCTTTCGCCGGGAATGAAATTTATCCTGGGTGGTATTTCTGTAGACTCGTCACAAAGTGTCCATTCCGATTGATCAAAGGTGTGTAAGGCATCATTGTCATCTTCAGATTCGCTGTCTATTACCCTTATTTTTCATCTCCTTACACCCATGATCACATCATCATCTTCATCATTAGCCTCTCGATCAATGCGATCGATTTCGTCCCGGAGTATTTCGAAACAAAATTCATCTTCGCTAGAACTGATTTCGCTCCTAATATCCATTTTTGTCGGGGTTCGAACAAAATCACTTTATACAAATTTTCCTGATGCTTCTGCCACGATCGTCGAGTCTCAACTGACTTCGGAGACATTTTCAAAGCCACAGTCTTAGAAGAACCTTTTACCAATTTTATCTTATCTCCGTTAAGATATGTCATTTGATACTTCATACAAAAGAGTATAAACAGCTAAGGAACCTTTCCAAGAACCAATGCTGCATTCCTATCGTTTGGAGCTAACGTAATCTAACATAAACACCGATTGGCGCCTCTCACTCGCCATCCGACCTGTCGCGCGAAACGCCGTGGCGACTGAGAGTCGTCTTCCGACCGCAAAGGGTTAACAAAACGTTCGATCAAAGGGATAGACGTAAACCAGTTGTCACAAGTTACTGTACGATTTGAACTATGACTCGGCTCACAAGGGACATTCGGCAACGCGGAAATTCAAAAAAATCTGAAACTCTGCATAATTGTAGATCAGATATACCTAATAACAAAACAATTTTTCGTTGGTGCCCAAAAACGGTTTTAAGGGTGGAAACAACCTCTTGAACAAAGTTGATTTTTGTCTTTCTAAGCGAATATTATCGAATATTATCGAAACTATTAAAGTGATATGAAAAAATGTTTTAGACAAAAGTTTTATGGTTTTAAAAGTACTTTATTATGCTATATTTAGATTTTTTAAAAATGTAAAATTGTGTATAAAATATCCCCCCTCCTTCTCTTTTTTCAAATTGTTAAAATCAATTGTCCAACCAAAATAAAGCTTATTTTATGACAAATTCAACCATATATAATAACATTATGTTTGGAAAAGGCAATATTGAAAAAAAAATTAAACATGCTCTTATATGTATGCTACGCGTACCAAACTTAAGGATTCGCTACTTGACGATGGCATTTCTTTCTTCCTCAAATCTTCCTCATAATTGCAAACTGTAAAAGATAAGGAAGGAAGAAAATAGAAAATCTAAAAAAGCAATAAAGTTGATGTTAAGAAGTAAGTTAAGAAGAAGAACAGCATGATAAGGAGGACGCAGAGAGAGTGTATATAACCCTAATATAGATAATCTTTTAAATTCAATTGTAAAGAACAAATAAGGAAATGAATGATATGAAGAAAAAAGGAGAACACACACGGATTTAATAATGAAAAATATAATTTATAAATTTATTCAGTGTACATTTGTGTGTATGTGTTTTGTTTCATTCAGTATATAGGTTTTATTAATTAAGTAGTCGATATAGATATTCGAGTGAAAGATATCTTATATTTTGGTATGGATTATAATATATACAAATTTTACAGGAATTGAGGACAGTAAAATATTATTTATTCTATATAATTATTACAATAATGATATTGCTCAAAGAAATGTTCAAAACAAAAATATTGCTTGCACCATGCACAACGTATAAAAGCCATTTTACCACAAATGCTACATTTTGGTATACGTTTTTCTTCTTTAAAATAACAATAATCGATTGGATTATGAAATTTTTCAGGCCGTGTTGATAAATAACCACTTTTATACCAGCTATATCTAAATAAATTTCGAAATCTTGGAGAAGACAGTTGATTGTGTGTTAAAGATTGCAATTTTATTATGTTATTTAAATGTAAATGTAAATTTATGTCACAATTATTTATAATAACACTATCAGAAAAGCTTCGAACAAAATTTTTCCAGATTCTGAAACCAAAAACATCTAATGGCTGTATAAAAGCAGTTGTTTTTTTTGGTATTGTTAGAATATTTACATGTTTGTCTTTTGGTACAAGTTCTTCCAATTGGTTCGGGCAATGTCCTGTCCATGAATCAAGCAGTAGTATACTTTTCTCTCCAGTGTTTGGTAGATACACTTCTTGGAACCAATTTTTGAAATGTTCAGTTGTCAATTTCCCTGATTTTGAAGCCGCAATGTAAATATTCACTGGTCTAAAAAGAGTTTGTTCTACTTGTGGTCCAAAAACACCAGTAGATTCTTTTAATACTATATACAAAGGCGACAGGAGATGTCCATCTGCAGATATAATAGGCATAATGGTGTAGCTATGAGTCATAGCAGATAAAGATTGGATAGTAGCTCCAACTGTCTTCACTCCTACATTAGCTAATGTTCTTCCTGCATGTATTTCTAAATTAAAGCCACTTTCGTCCGCATTATAAGTTGATTCAGCACCGATTACATTAATATGTGGCTTTACTGTATTTACAAATTCCTCAGCGTTTTGACGTATAGTTAGATCAGTTAAATGAGAAGATCGCGTTTTAAATGCAGTTATTTTACGTGATGTAATACGATGTGCCTTTTTAAAATTCCATATCCACCAATTTCCTGCTTTAAATGAAGAAAAATCCACTTGTTCCTTTGCTTCTAGTGCCCATTTTCGCAGATTTATATCATGAATAATAAGTCCTCTATTAACAGCTTCTTGGAATTTTATAAGAACATATTCAGCAATAACTACAAGTTTGTCTGTATTTGAACCCCCACGCATTACATGTTCTTGCCATCTGTGCAATTGTTGAATAGATTTTACCTAGAAGAAAACAAATCTCAATATTAAACAATTCGAATTCAAAAATAAAAGAAGTTATATACGAATTAAATGTTCACGAAACATCAAATTGTAAAACTTAAAATAAAAAACAACGCGACTCTAACTATATAATTTACAGCTTTGGTCATAAGTATAAAGCATCTCTAACTCATTGTATTTTCCTAGAAATCAATGCATATACTCATAGTAAATATATAATCTCTTTACAATAAATATTATATTAATATTTTATAATATAATGTGTATATTATATTTATGTATATTATATTTATATTATAATTTATATTATATTAATATTATATTATATTACAATAAATATTGTAAAATAAATATTATTTTCCACATATTCTTATATTATATTTTTTTATTATATTATTTTTCCATATACTCGTATACTATATTATGTTCTCCATATATTCATATAGTATGTTTTTGTTACACAATTTAAATAAATTTTTTGGGATGCTTTATACTTATAGTCAAAGCTGTATGTACAATGATGCGTTCCGCGAGAGGGGAAATAGAGTTCTCTCTGTCGCGGAACGAATCACTGCCGGTCACTGTACACCGTAAAAGCCTCAAGTATTTTACTATATATTATTCTTCTTATTTTTTAATTAAACTTTACTTTTCTAAAACGATGTTGTACAGAAGTAAGAGATAAATGTCCTTTCTTTCCACTCTTCCAAAATTCGATTGCCTTTTTCTTATAATTTAAGTTTACATTTCCACCTTCATCATCCACAGTGCAAACTTCATTTCCATAATTATCTTCTTCAGCATCAATATCGTACACATCTACAAATTGTACGTCATGCGGTTCTGATGGATCGTCAAAATCAAGTCCCCACTCATGTTCGATCGTAATATCGTGATGTATAGCACTCTTTATTAAATCAGTAATTGTATCATGGAGTTCCACCTCTTGATGATTAACAGGAGTTATTGCAATATTTGTGAAATGAAATGTCGCAATTAACAAATTAATAACATTAGCTGGATTTATTACTGACATTATGATACAAATCTTAAGGATATTTTAATTAAACATTTCTCACAGCAATAATAATATACGTACTGCTTCAATAACTGCTTCAATAACACTGAAATGTATTCCAAAATGGACAGCTTTTATATGCAAATGAATGAAGATAACATATGTCAATATAATGAACCTTGATTGCACTGTACTTGATAAAGAGTGCTATTTTGGTCGCACAGTCATAAAACTTGTGACAAGTGTTTTGCATGTTGCCATGATGTACACACACGTGCGCACGTACAAAAACACACATACACACACACACATATTTATTTATATTTACGCGTGTCGTTTAAATTAATGAAAAAGGTAGCCGCAATGTTGGTAAAATAAACGTCTATTACGTGAAATTTTATAATTTATAACATTTTTAAATATTAGTGACTGTATCCTTATCATGCTATTTTTCTCCTACTTCTTAACATCAACTTTATTGCTTTTTTAGATTTTCTATTTTCTTCCTTCCTTATCTTTTACAGTTTGCAATTATGAGGAAGATTTGAGGAAGAAAGAAATGCCATCGTCAAGTAGCGAAGCCTTAAGTTTGGTACGCGTAGCATACATATAAGAGCATGTTTAATTTTTTTTTCAATATTGCCTTTTCCAAACATAATGTTATTATATATGGTTGAATTTGTCATAAAATAAGCTTTATTTTGGTTGGACAATTGATTTTAACAATTTGAAAAAAGAGAAGGAGGGGGGGTATTTTATACACAATTTTATATTTTTAAAAAATCTAAATATAGCATAATAAAGTACTTTTAAAACCATAAAACTTTTGTCTAAAACATTTTTTCATATCACTTTAATAGTTTCGATAATATTCGATAATATTCGCTTAGAAAGACAAAAATCAACTTTGTTCAAGGGGTTGTTTCCACCCTTAAAACCGTTTTTGGGCACCAACGAAAAATTGTTTTGTTATTAGGTATATCTGCTCTACAATTATGCAGAGTTTCAGATTTTTTTGAATTTCCGCGTTGCCGAATGTCCCTTGTCAGTAACTTTTCTAAAAAAATATTCTGGAATTTTCTCACGTGGCAATAATCCTTCCAAAGTTTGTTTTCCTAAATATGGGATTGCATGATAAAGATAGAATGTCGAAGCATCATTCAGAGTTATCACTTTGAGACCGTATTTATCAGGTTTCGCTTTTATATACATACGAAAAACGCACCGTCCGCGAAAGCTTAACAACTGTTCATCGACTGTTGTTTTTTTACCAATATTGTAACAGTTGCGGCAATTCTCAATAAAAATATTCCAAATGTCTCTTATCGGCGCAAAACGATCATTCTTATTTCTCGTTTTCTTGTCATCGAATCTTATACACATGCAAAGAAACGAGAATCTGTTTCTTGACATTGTACAACGATAAACTGTTAAGCCGTGCTTTTTGTTCCACATATCATGAACATCAACGTTTGAATCCTTCCTTGCGCCAGCGTAATAAAATAATCCGATAACCGCTTTTATCTCTACAATATTTGTATGCTCATGATATGATTGTATGAGCAAACCTTTCGCCATCATTATAGCACATACGTGCTCAATCTGTTGATTGGTATGCTCAACAATTTTTTGGAAGATTTCGTCGGTGATTAACGCCTCCCAAAACTGCTCCATAGTCCCCAAACCGGCTGCTGGATCAATGGGGCCAGGAATAACGTCTTTCTCTGGTTCGTTTATTCGATCTGTAAAAGAAAAAGTTTCATTGTAACGGTGCAGGAACATTGAAATTCAAAACGTAAAACCGATGACTCATTGCTTCAAAATATATCTGGCCTAATGTTTACTAACAAAGCGGAACTTAGCTCAGTTTCTCTCTCTCTCTCTCTCTCTCTCTCTCTCTCTCTATCTTTCTCTTTCTTTCTGCCCCCCTCCCTCTCTATCTCTCTATCTCTCTATCTATCTGTCTATCTCTCGCTCTCTCTCCTCTCAATCTACCATTCGAGAAAGGGAACTGTCTTTCCTTACAAATGATGCGGTGCGCGTGTACCTGAGGCGTGCTAATAAATAGGACGAAGGAACCTACCTGACAGCCTTCCAGCTGCTCTTGTAGACCATTTATAGCTATTCTTTCCTCTCAACGTTGTTGTTGGTCGACCCCGGTTACGGCTATCTGCTGCTAGCTCGACTCGACGCGCTTGCGCGTCTAAAAGTCGTTGTTCCAAACTAGCGTTCTTCAAATAATCTTCGTCGTCCTCCTCCATCGCACTTTCAACAAAATCGTCAGAAGGCTCATAATCTTCGTCGACACTGTGTTCAGACACATGATCTTCTTCACCTGAAGACGCGACATCGATAGCCTGATTTTCTTCCTCTTCCTGTATAACCGCCATTCGCATAGTCCGGTTTCGCAAATGACGCTCCATCTGATCAAACAGGAAACAATTCAAATACACGCCACAAAAAAATTCTTACAGCGTACAAAATTTTACTTACGATTTAAATTTATAAATTATGCACAAAAACAAGGAAAAAAAATCATTATTTTTTTCACCAAAAACCACGTATATGCCACACTGGGGTCAAATGGACCCCACTCCAATTTCCGTCGTCTCTCTTCGGCAGCTGTCGAGCGACTGACCTGCGGTAATAGCACGAATAGGTAATCCAAGAATCCAGCTACAGGTAGAGAGAGACAAGTTTGAATTCCGTTAGGATCACAAAGATTTGCACCGTTAAAAACGTCTGGGGTCTAATAGACCCCATGTGTCATTTAAGGGTTAATCCTGTAAAATTATTTTCTAATGCTTGCTCTAATGCATCAGTGCATTTACCATTTTATTTTAGATGAGCTATTAATGCTTTCATGGATGCTATGGATTTGTCTCTTCGTCTTAAACGTTTTTGCAATATTACAAGTCTCCTCTTCGTTTGTGTTTCCTTTGGAGATAGAGGTAACAGTCGTTTCTCTACTTGAACTGCAACGTCTTTCTTTATTTTTTTACAAGACTGTACCTCTTCTATTTGTGTTCCAACATCCGTCATTCTTTTTCTTTTTTGGTGATTTCAGGAAAGACACATCTTCCACTTGTACTGCGTTATTCTTCATTGTAGTAATTCTGCTTTCATTGACCTTCAACATAAGTAATTTTAAAATAATCTACAAGCAATTATTTCCAACTGCGACATATCTCGCAATATATATGTATGTATATAACAATTATTATCCGTAATAAACGCCATTGTGAATACCATTCTTGAATCAGGTAAGGCACTACCACTAGCATCATTTGGGGACAATACTCAATACTGAGTTCATTATTATGTTGTTGGGATGCATGTAGTCTACTTGTTTGTATCTATGGCATAACGAACAATATGATATTTTACAAATAGAAATAGTTTATGATTCAGATAATGTCGAAACAAGAAGTTAATTTAGAAATAAATAAAAGCCAGATGTAAGAAGTTGTGTATGAAATATTCTATTAATAAATTCAATGCTCAATGTATGTGTGTGAATATTCAACATAAGCTAATATTTCGATCATAACCGTCCTCAGTGCAATACAAAACATTAACATAATATGTGAAGAAAGTAGTTTCTGCAATTTATATGTATGTACAATATTGCTTTGCTTTATACATAACGTTAATCTACTGTATTGCATTAAGGAGGATTGTGGTATACGACTGCTTTGCTTATATCTTACATTTACACATTTAGCGTTGAATTTATTAATAGAATATATATTTTGCACTTGACTTCTTGCATTTGGACCCTTCGTATTTCTTTCTTAGCATATTACACATTTTTACAAAATGATGGAAATATGCTACAAACTTAAATAAAATTTATGCAACTCACCACTTGACAAATGTTAATATTTTCTTTACTTTCTTCGGTCTCTCGAAAAATAGTTGGTACCGCATTCTTTTTTAATGTTCTTCGAAAGAATGAACCAACTGTATAACATTCTTTCTCAAAATGTTCACTACAAATAAATGTCGATTTTGTATGATTTTACAGCAACCCTTCAGGAATATTTTCCATCCATTTTGTTGCGAGTTCTTCATTCGTCACAGGAAAGCTAAATAAAATTAATTAATACATTTGTACATTAGAAATATATCAGGTTAGGTTATCTGGAGTTCGACTATTTACCTGTGAAATGTCATTCTTTCGTTTGGATATATATATATATATATAATGGTAAAACATTGCAATATAAAAAACTGCAAAAATGTCTGGAATCCAAAAATACATTACAGGTTATATGTTGATTATAATTTTATTATAATCTTAAACGAAGAGTATCTTTAATTCTATCGCGTTTTTCCATTCCTTGTCTATATAATAAGGCGTCGAAATTTATATTATCCACATTATTTTCTATTCTATCTTCTGCTATTATGGGTATTTGAATCATATCATTCCTCATTATACATATATTATGTAAAACGCAACACGCCATAATGTATTTGGGAATTAGATTCTTCTCATAGGTAATTTGTCAAGTAAGATTCTAAATCGACTTTTTAAAAGAGCAATGCTACGCTCTACAATCATTCTCGTAGAAGATAAACAGTAATTGTAATTTTTTTTTCTTTCTGTTAAATGACCGTTATCTTTATATGGGACGAGTAACGTTTTTAAATTTTTATAAGCTGCATCACCGATTAAATGAGTATCATTCGGAAATTTTGTTTCATCATTGCAAAAATCTTGTAATCCTGATACACTAAAGACCCTTTGATCGTGTACCGAACCTGGATAACCCACATAACAATGTAGAAACTCCATTTTCTGGTTGCAAACCACCTGTAATTTAAATTGTTTTTTAAATATCTTTAATATTTTCAATTTAATTTAAATTATTTATTGAGTAAATGCTATTCACAATTTACCTGCAGTTGAATGGAATGATATCCTTTCCGATTTATGTAACTTTCTTGATTTTCTTGTGGAGTTGCTATTTTTATATGAGTCCCGTCTATTACACCAATTATTCCTGGAAATCCCTTCTTTCCTTCAAAATCTGTAATAGATTCTAATGCTTCCTGTTCTGTCGGCCATTTAATATAATGTTGTCGAAGATTAAGAAGAGCATTTACGACTCTTCTTACTGATCTCCAAGCAGTTGCTTTCCCAATATCAAACCGATCACACACAGATCTAACAAAAAAGTAATTACAAATAATAATAAACAAAAATATGAATAATGTAGTAATATTAATGAATTATGCATTTATATAACATTTTGTTAATAATTAAATTTTACCGATAGGAATCTGGTGTTGCAAGTGTCCACATTGCTATTAATAATTGCTTTTGTGGATCAATAGTATTTCGACCTGATCTTTGACCATAAATACAGTTCCTGTTTTTCTTTTCTAATTTTGGTCCCAAAATTAATAATAAAGTATTAAATGTATCTCTAGATACTCTGTAAAAAAGATATTTAATCTTTTTCTTTTTTAATTATACAATGATAAACATTATGTCCTTAATCATATAATACATAATTACATTATACATATTTATCTTACCTAAAATGTTCCTTAAATCCTTCATCTGAAAAGGAAGTGACTACATTTTCAATGTAATTTGTTACGCGTGGTTTTAATATTAGTGTTCCTCGTTCTGTTATTAATTTTAATATATCTACAATATTTTCTTCGTCTGATGATGAACTTTCCACAGTTGACTCTAAAAAATGCACCATACTTTGTGCACTAATTAAAATTGGTGTTAATTTATTCATAATTAAAATAATTCTACCTTATAATTTTTCTTTGGAATTTTCACCTTTTTATAGGTTATATGATTCGATGAACTACTGCATGATACTGCAAATGCGTTCTGTTTTCCTGCGTTACTGCCAGTTACTGCCGATTTTGGAACGACAAATACGCTAGTTTCAATATCAGTACTGTCAGTACTGTCAGCACTATTTCGGAACGCAGCCTATGTAACACAGTGCAAGTGACATGATGTGACATGTGAGCTTACGTTTTTAGCTCAGGTAATACGTGACAGACAAAAACGGAGATACTATTTGGATACTCTCTGTCTCTAGCCGCGGCCCCTACCAGGCCAGCGCTCCTTCCAGTTAGTTATATAATTCAATGGGTAACACGAACAGCGATTATTACATCACGTCCGGCATCAAAAACAACTTAGTGTACACTTAGTGCAAAAGTTCAAAAAGTGCATGCAACACGAACAAACCTAATATAAGACGTTTGAGGGCTAAAACTTTTCGTTTTTATGTGTAGTTTAAGAAAAAACGATTCAAAATAAGGATGATCTGAGCAAATCGCATCGAGTTGTAATCGCACGTTTTGAAGTTAGAAGTCATGAAAATTTGAAAAGTGATAAGCCCAGGATGAGTCATCAAATATTAATTAATGAGATATGAGTGATAAGGTTTTAATCTAGACCCAAAATAACTAAGATCTTTATAAATTGCAATGACGTGCGCCTACGCGTTATCGAGAAATTGAAGTCAATAGGTCAAGATTGGCCGATATGAAAATGACGAGTCACCGAGTATAAGCTGCAAAACTATTTGCGATAAAATATTAATCTAAGTTCAAAATAAGGATGATCCGAGTCAACCGTGTCGAAATGCGATTACGCGTTTCGGAATTACAGGTCACGAAAGATGAAAAAGTGACAGACTCGGAAATGACCTGTCACGAAATATTAATTATCGAAATATGGGTGATAAGGTTTTAATCCAGATCCAAAATAACTATGATCCTCGTAAACCGCATCGAACTGCCATTATGCGTTTCGGAGTTAGAGGCCACGAAATATTGAAAAGTGATAGGTTCGGAAATGACAGGTTACGAAATATTAATTAACGAAATATAAGTGATAAGATTTTAATCTGGGTTCAAAATAACTAAAATCCTCACAAATTGCAATAACGTGCGCCTACGCGTTATGGAGAATTTGAAGCCGATATGTCTAGATTGATTGATGCGAAAGTGATGAGTTACCAAGTATAAATTAATAAATCGTGTGCAATACACAAATAGCACATGACGTCCTCAGGATTATCCTGAATATGTTCTAGGACGTCCTAGAACCAGGTTGGGACATTGTTATATCTATGGGACATTCTGAGGATGTCCAAAGGACGTCCCATTCAGGACGCTTTTGGGACATTCTCAAGACATATTCAGGAAAGCACAAGGATGTCTTCGGGACAGCCACAGGACGAATATTCAGGAGAGTACAAAGATGTTCAATGTGAGGTACTAAGGACATCCTGGGGACGTTTTGTGGATCGGATTTACAGGACACCTTTATAACATCCACAGGTCATATTTAGGAAAGAACGAGGATGTTTTTGGAACGCTTTTAGGATATCTTCAAGACAAATTCAGGACAACGCAAAGAGATTGTCGACAGAGCCATAGGACGTCTAGTACAGTTGTACGTGTATATGAGTGTATATGAGTGTGTGCGTGTACAGAAATTTCATCAATTCCAATTATAAATGAATTGTATATATTTCTCTGGTATATATTTCTCTGGTATATATTTCTCTGGTATATATTTCTCTGGTATATATGGGACGTTCCACGTCAAGTGGGACAAGTGTCTGGGCAAAATTCATGAAGTCAAAATAAGATGCTTGAGAGCTTAAACTTTTCGTTTTTATGTGTAGTTTAAGAAAAAAACGTGGCCTTTTGAAAAATTAAAAACGGCCGCATCAATATGGCGGCTTGAGTAGATGAAAAACTTATTGAGAACATTTAATTTATTGGTCAGATAGTTCAAAATTCATTCGATTTCCATGAAAATCAGCATCTGGCGGGTTTTCGGGTCATTCATGAACATTCTGTAGTCAAGTGACCGAAATTGGAAATGGCGGATCCAATATGGCGGTTGTAGTAGATGAAGAATTGACTGCAACGCTTAGATTTTTAATCGTGTGATCCGAAATTAATTTCTTTTTCCATGAAAATAGGTATGTGGGGATTTTCCAGGGAGCATTTTTCGGCAGGATTTTGAAAAAATGTACGAACAATTGGAAAATACATTCTTCCTGAGATCATGAATTTTCACGAATCTTTATTCCGAAAAATATGAGTTTTCGTTAAAATAATGATAGAAGAACAGTCTGTTATTGTCTGATATTGTTGAAAAATCATAAGCCAATCTCGAAGACAGTCTCAACCCTTTAAAACGCAAAGAGCTTTCTACCTCTACAAACGAGAAGTGGATCAAATTGTACTGCATGTAATATTCAAACGGAATGTGAAAGATAACGTTAAACGATATTATAAGGACAAAGAGTCAAGAATAAGGAAAATATTAATTCGCAAAATGTTGAAGTCGAGGTTGGATGTGTTCGGAACGCGATCTGTTTCGTCGCCGAATAGCACGAGGTCGACCGTGCCCACGACTTCCCGGTATCGCTCAGCGCTGGGCAACGAGGTCGATCGAATCGACGCTTGAGCGGTGCCGAGGAGGCTGAATGGACGGGCAAAAGAGTTCACACAGCCGTCTTGGTCAGATTGAATTTATCTTAATTTAATTTAACGGCCAAACTCGCCAACAATCGAGCCACACTATTCGGATCGGTGTCGCGAGCTGACTCAAAGCACAAAAAAATAACAAAAATTCTACACAAAAAAGAAAAAGAAAAAAGACAATGACTATCGCGCGCGCAAAAAGAACACCGCATTGATCGGCTTTGCTCCATGAGCAAAGGAGTTCGCTAATCGCTGACAGAAGCGTGAAAGGACCTGAGCGAGAGATCAGGCGACGAGAAAAGATCGATTGCTAGCGCGAAGTGAGTTTGGTCTTCCATAACCATATATATACCATCTCTTTCTCGCCGCCAATATCTCGTCGGTCTAGGCTCTATATTTGATGTCGAAATTCCAGGACATTCAGCCATGTCGTGACTTAGCTGAGATAAACAGTGTTCAAATTACAATAGAACGAGCGAGTTAGTTTGGACGTTATGATTCGGTTGTTTATTTTGGAAATCGTGTGTCGCTTGATCGCGATTTCTACTGTCTGTTATTTCAAAGTGTAATCGTCAAGCTTGATAGATTCGAGAATATTCGCTGAAATTTCATTTAATGTTCTCATGATTCCGAGCGGACTCGCGAACATACCGCCTGCCTGAATGAAATGGTGAATTTCGAAAGCGTGCAATGTCGTTGTTGCATAACGTTGTTGTAACACGGTGTTACGACCTGGAGGAGGAACGAAACTTGACACTTGCTTTCGCAAGCTCCAACGTATTCGCAAGTCTGCGGTGCAGATCAAGGATCGGAATGACCCCTTTATCTGGCGCGGACGTACATCAGTGATCCTTTATTTAGGTCAAGGAACTGAATCCTTTTACCTGGGATAGGACCATGAGCGACGGTTGAGGAAAGAGAGAAATTTTTTGGTTGAAAATAATTCTTTGGAAAACGTGATTGGCTTACAATTACAAACAACTTGTTTTATTAGTGATTAGACGGAAGTTCACAATGAAATAAAATTTATAAGCTTTTATAATGTGTACGTATACATGTGTGGTTAACAATCGCGCTCAGAACAATGATTCTCGATTATTCAGAACAATATTCTGATAGAGGAAGGTCTATTGACGGAAAGGCACGAGGTGAGGGGGAAGATTGCGATGAGGATACTTCTGAAGGAGAGGGAGAACGAATAGGTATGAGGCCACGGAGTAAGGCCGCGTGCCCCCTCATAGAGGTGAGGTTAGAGGAGAAGATATCGGGGATGGGCTCCAAGGTAGAGGAAAGCTTGTGGCAGAACGGTCATCTACTGGACTCAAGGATGTTGGAGAGTACGAGATAGGAGGAGTTACTGGGGGAAAGTCAGGAAGGAACATGAGAGGAGAATGCGCCGATCTTAAAATGTTTGATTCGATATGACAGATAACGTAATCTGGACCTTGTAATACAAATACTAAAGAAGCGATCTCAAAATCCTCGCGGTTTGCACAATTTTCCGTGGTGGTTATTTCTGACTGTGATTGAGAAGATTGAGCTACTGAAATCGGATTTCACAATTAAGGAGGGATGCCAAGGGGGATAGGGAAAAGAAAGAAAAAGGGAGGAAAAGAAAAGAGAGAGAAGAAAAGATAAAAAAATAAAAAGAAAGGGGTCACTCTGGCAAAATAAAATATAAATAACTTACTGCTGGTTCTATGATCTTAGTCGACAATGAAAAGTGTAATTGCTGCGTGTCTGTGAGGACCCAAGTTTTGCGCTAAGAACAGGAAGTTGGTTTCGGCAGGATCGCTCGCAATGCCCCAAGAACGCATGAGATCGTTGCACAAAATAATTAACAACTGAAGAACTCTGATCTACCTAAGTCACTAGTAAGTTTGGTTATTAAGAGACCCTGAAGGGCTGTTGAAGAGAGGACTCTGTCCTGGCTGCGGGTCGGTCGAAAGGAGAAGTAGAAGTGGCATAGCCTTTTCATTTTACTAAAAACGTCACCTCGGTCGAGAGGGTGAGGTTTTAGAAGTTCCAAAGTTTATGTCCAAATATGGGTATAGGATTTTGTTACAAAACTTTTCGGAAGTGGGGTTTTAGGGAAGCCTGAGATAAATATGGTAAAAGATCGGGTATCTATGGCAGTAAAAGACTTCAAGGTTCCGCTAGGGTGAGTGAGAGATTATGCGCAATAAAAATTTATGAATAACGTGGAAACGCATGGGTTTCCGAAGATCAAAGGTTAGTAATATCATATAACAGCATAAAAGATTGTCTGGTCGGTCCGTCTTCAAAGAAAATTGTTGCTCCGGACAGGAAGTTATTCAAGGTTATTTGGAGAGGAGATACATGACTAAAATAACTCGGCGGATCTTTCTGACGGAAATAGGGAAATAGGGAATCCGGTGATTAAAGCAAAGAGAAAAAAAAGAAATCCGTGTGTGTGATGTCACTGTTTTCGAAGGGTCGCGGAACATGAACATTTGGTCGTATAATATAAAATACAATCCGCCCTATTTGATAACGGATTTAGGATATGGGAAGTCCGCAGGACGTAACAACGGCGAGTTACAAAATAAGAAATTACTTAGGCGGAAAAATCTCCACAGTACTGCTACATAAGATGATATAATAACATAATCGATGTAAAGTATAAGGCGACATAACGGAGCCGCTTCGCAAACATAATTGAGGAAACGCTTTATGCGGCATAACGGGTTGCGACGAAATAGGTTTTGTTCGCGCAGCGCCGTGGTAGTGCGAAGGGAAGCTGATTTGGCTACCACGTCAATGAAAATGACTCGCATGTTCGGAGGTGGACCCAGGCTGCCCGCCATGGCAATATACAGCTTTCCTTTGGCTCTGCATTGGTCGAAGTTGGCTCACATGATGTTAGGAATAATCGATTAATAAATCTGAGGCCTGTGTTGAGGTGTGCGAGGCATGTGTCCCGGCGGATCGCTGCTCTCAGAGTGGTCGCTTCCTCGTAATCGACTGGCAATGCGCACAACTGGACGATGGGCCGCTTATATTCCGCGCGAGCCATCTTGACGGTGACGACGCACGTAAGGCCGTTGGCCCGAGGGAAGCACTGGATCGTTCCAACTCCCACTTGCACGGGGGTCGAGTCGGAGTGCGGAGGAGGACGAGCTGTCCGAGTTTTATAGCTGGCTCGAGGTTTCGCCATTTCGCGCGCTGTTGTAGCGTGTTGACATAATCGGTCTGCCAAACTTTCCAAAATCGCTCGGTCATCTGGCGGACGAGCTGCCAACGAGTAAGTCGATGCTCGTTTACGTCGAGTAAACTCGGCTCCGGGGCGGTTGTCAGCGCGGACCCGCTTAAAAAATGACCCGGAGTCAAGAGTTCGTATCAATCATCGAGAGTATCGGATATCGGCGCAAGAGGATGCGAATTGAGACACGCCTCGATTTTGCAGAGCAGCGTGGTAAGCTCTTCAAAAGTAAGGGTATGAGTTCCGAGAGTGCGATGTAGATGATGTTTGACACTGCGGACGCCGGCAAAGTGTGGAGCGGCCGGCGGAATAAAGTGCCATGCAATACGGTCGGTCGCGATGACATTGAGGGTCGCGAATAACTGCTTTATATGCGGCCGCGAGTTCTTTATCGGCGCCGACGAATGTCGTCCCATTGCCTGAATGGAGGGCCTGCGGAAGCCTACGACGCGAGCGAAAGCGACTAAACGCGATCAGAGCGGGAATTGAGTAATCGGGAACCAACTCCAAATGAATCGCCTGGGTGGCGAAGCAAACAAACAACGCGAGATACGCCTTCCGCGAGGTGATCCCACGACCGGCGGAAGCGCGCACCTGCATGGGGCCTAGTCGACTCCGCAGTGCAAGAAACATCTTGTTGGAGTGGAAACTCGCACGGCGGGAAGATCGCTCATTCGTTGAGACGGAATCGCTGTCCATTCGCGTGTACATGCGACGCATCGATAAATGACCGCTTTAACGATACTTCGGGCGCGGACGATCCAAAAGTCGCGGTGCAACGTACTCAAGGTGAGCTACGGTCCTGCATGCAGGGCTCTCAGGTGAGCGTGCTCTACGATGCGGTCGACCACTGAGTGCGAGCTAAGCAGAATCAGAGCTAAGCAGAAAGCGGATTTGATAAGGAACCGGCGCGTTCTTAATTCGCCCGCCGACACGAAGCTGTCGCGGTCCAAGAATAGACAGAGAGAAAGAATAGGACCTTTCGGCGACAGATTACTTTTGAATATAAGGGCGCAAATTTCCTTTGAAAATAGTTCGAGCTGCATTTGTTTGATCCAAAACAGACGAGCGCGATCACACTCAGCCGCTGTGAGAGCGCGGCCGGACGCGTCATTCTTCGGAGCGTCGTTCAAATCGCAACGACATCGAGAGAAGAATCTAAAAAGATAGGCGGTTACGCTTCGGCCACGACGAGAAACGTAAAGCAATGTCGAACGGATGTTGCGCGCGGTGCAGTACAATGACACGCTGCAATTTTCTCTTCGAGAGGAGCGCTTGATGGAAGACTTGACTCATTGGGAGGCCAATCTTTCGAGGGATCGCACAGCCACCGCGGCCCCCGCCACCACAATGAGTGATCGCGAATTTCGTCCCCAAGGAGGCCTCGCGATGCACAATCGGCGGGGTTATCATTTGTAAGTACGTATCGCCATGAGACATTGGGCACCTGTGTTTGTACAAAGGCCACGCGGTTGGCGACGAACGTCTTCCACCGGGACGGGTGCTGTCTGAGCCAAGCGAGTACAATCTGCGAGTCCGTCCAGCAAACGCACGGAACATCGGGAAACCCGGACGATCTGCGAACGAAAGCGAGCAATCGAGCGAGAAGCACCGCGGATGACAATTCGAGCCGAGGGATACTGAGCGGAGTCAGAGACGAAACTCGCGATTTCCCGGCGAGCAAGGTAATATCCACAAAACATTTGAATATACATAGTATGTTCCATGTATATACATCTCTGTATATTGCACATCCTATGCATATACATTTAGGATACACGGTACGTTGTATGTCTATGCAATGTTTGTACAGACATAACCGAAAAAAAGCACATAGAATGTTTCAGACATGTACGCATATACATGCAGTGTATATTCTCTGTATATCTTATGTACATACACTCTGTATATTTCCAAAATATACATAAGACATATATATCAATATGCAATAAATATACATTGGTATATGCAGTTTATATACATGAAATATACATGATATATTACCGACAAAAGATATTTGCATGTACATAGTATATCCTCTATATATCTTATGAATATATACTTATATAATACATTCTGTATATTCCCAAAATATACATAAAACATGCATGTCAATATGCAATAGATATGTATTGGTATATGCAGTTTATATACATGAAATATACATTGCATATACATGTATTACCGACGAAAGGTATTTGCATGTACACAGTATATCTTTTGTATATCTTATGAATATACATTATGTATATTCCAAAAATATGCATAAGACATGCATGTCAATGTGCAATAAATATGCATTGGTATATGCAGTTTATATACGTGAAATATATATTGCATATACAGGATGTATCTCAAATAAAATGCATTTGCATACATATATATATATATATAGTTGTGTCCGCGAGCGGATCGGCTCTCGTCTGGAAGGACCGATGTTGGAGTTATCGACGCTCATATTGTCACGCCTCACGTCCTGCCTTGCAGTCTCGGGCACTCCGTGGCCATACATCAGTGGCCTTAAACTCGCGGACTCAGGATACGCGGGCTGGGATCTGGTGGACCTACTACTTGACATCAAGGTTTTTGTCCGCATCGTCAACGACATCCTGAGGAGGGGTGATTCGGACGAACCCATCGCACAGAGGACATCGCTGGGATGAATTCTGTCTGGGAGCGTCGGAACATCGAAGTAAAGGCGAGTAACGAACTCGCTTCACTGCTCGATCGACGAGGATTTGTCGGTGATCGTCTGCCGGGGAGCAGGAGGAGGCTCCTCGTGGTTCACTGCCAATATCATCTGAGGAGCAGCGATGTCAGAAGTACTTCGCTGCCATATATTCTTGACGAGAGGATGGGAGATATACCGTGCGTGTGTGGAGACTGACCGACGACGAAGAACCCAGATCCCCTCTAGGAGCGGCCACCTTGCGGGACGAAGTCGATGACATTCTCACCGGGGCTTCTACGATGCGCGTAGTCTTGAAGATGCGCTGTCAGCTGGAAGCGGTATGCACGGCAAGCGGGTTACCGCCACGAAAATGGACAATTAACCACGAACAGCTGATTGCGTCTCCACACACATTGGTCAGCGATGCGGATGCTCCAGACGATGGAGGGACGTTTCCGGAAGGATCCGACATTCCATCAACTCTACGACGATTTCTTGTCAGAATATGAGGTCTCGGTCACATGTCGGCTGATGTTTTCCGGTCGGAGTCGGGATGCTTCCTGCTACATCATGGCGTGCTCAAGCAGTCCGGCACGTCCATCAAGTTGCGAATCGTTTTCAACGGCTCTCAGAAAATATGTGAAGAACATTTGTTCAACGATTGATTCTTGGTGGGACTAAGCTTGGCGGGTCTCTTAATGCACTTAATGTGACGTTATCGCTATGTCTTCGTGGCCGACATGGAGAAAATGTACTGGCAGATCTTGGTACACGAGGAGGACTGCGATCTTCAGAGGATTCTGTAGCGTAAGGAGGGAAAAATTCAGGCATACCGCCTGAACACCGTCACCTGTGGCCTAGCTTACGCGCCATTATTGGCCATCCAGACGCTGTGGAGACTGACCGACGACGAAGAACCCAGATCCCCTCTAGGAGCGGCCACCTTGCGGGACGAAGTCGATGACATTCTCATCGGGGCTTCTACGATGCGCGTAGTCTTGAAGATGCGCTGTCAGCTGGAAGCGGTATGCACGGCAAGCGGGTTACCGCCACGAAAATGGACAACTAATCACGAACAGCTGATTGCGGACTTTCCGGCGGACGATGAGCGATATACAGTGTTCGGGCCTCGCGAGTTGCAGAGAGTCACTCCACTTTGAACTTGGAGTGGAGGCCGAGCGACGATCCCTTCTCCTTCGTAATTCGACCATTCGAGTAAGGCGTTATCACGAAGCGTATCATCTTATTGCAGACTTCTCGACTCTTTGATCCGCCAGGATGTATATTCCGTCATTGTGAGGGCTAAGTGCATCCAGACGACGTGGCTTCCTCTCCTACGCGAACTTCACATCCCACAATGGATGGGTGCCGAGCTATCGACTTGCATAGCGTAGCTCCATAGCTTCGCTGACGCCTCAGAGCTCATATACGCTGCGGTGCTCTATCTGAGGATGATAGTGGAGAACAACGTGGAGAACTTGCTAGAAGAGATGCTCTTGGCACAAGTCGAAGCATGCTTAAATTCATGACCACTGCAAGCGCTGATCCGGACGACTTCGCTGCGTTCACTCCCGTCCATTTCTTGGTCGACGAGCCGTTATGCGCTTTGTCAGAGCCTTCGCTGGAGCAGGTACCGACGGGAAAGTTAGACCAGTAACAATTGGTACAGCAGATGCGAGATCACCTTTGGCAACGTTGATCGCAGGAGTGTGTCACCAGCTTGATCCCTAGCAGCAAGTGGCACACCGAGGCGCAGAAACTCAAGGTCGGCCGCTACAAATGGCCGCTCGCTCGAATCATCAAGTTGCACTCTGGATATGGAGGACAAACTCGGGTGATAATGGTACGCACGGCGGTATCCCATTTCTCGAAATCGGTCGTGAAAATTGTGCCGCTTCCCGCGACCTGTTCAGTATTGGAATGAAAAAATTCGGTTCTTCTCATTCATTTGCGAACGATCGGAATAATTAGCGAGATATCGTGCAGTCGAGCTTTATTCATTGCATTTTCTCTTTTGCGTATCACTTTTCTTTCTTTTACTTTTCTCGGCGGTTTTATCTTTTTTTTTTACTTTATCGTTTGCGTTAGCTTTTGCGTCGCGTCATTTGCCGCATTATTCACACTTGCATTTGACTTGGTTTTTTCTTATAGCGTTTCCGCTTATAGCGTTCGTCTACCATGTACTTATAAGGAAGTTTTTGCAATACACTCAGATATGTGTTACGTCCTAGAGGAGGAGCGCAACTTTTCCGTTCACGGTAAAAGCGAACCTCGTTCGTACATGCGTGTCAGGGAACGGGTCAGGAACCCGACGGGTCCCTTTACTCGCTCGCTGACATACGACGAGCGGTCCGTTTTTCGGTCAGGGATGCGAATCCCTTTACCGGGAATAGGACCATGAGTCGACTGTTGGAAGGTGGGGCGATTTTGAAATTAATTAATGGAAAATTAGATATTTAACAAATTTATTAAAATAAGGATAACAAACAGAATGGTACAACAGCGCGATTTAGAAGGTGGCGATTTACAGTGATTGTATGCGTATGTATGTCTGTATGTGTGAGAAGAAAGAAAAGAAGAGAGAACAAGGAAAGAGAAGGAATACGAATAGAGTTAGTCGGGTGAAGGGGAACGAGAGCGATCAGGTGAATTTAGAGGAATGAAGTTAGTTCAGAGAAAGAAACAGGGGAATAGGATATCGAAGGGATATCGAAGGGGTAGAAGGAGTGGACGCGCGTGTAGGAGAAGAGGAAGGAGTACCCGGGGGAAAATGAGAGAGAAGGTAAGGGGGTAGGAGCGTAGGATCTGGGTGGTAATCGGTTCCTAGCGCTATGTTAACTATCGCTCGGAGATAGTGGACTCGAAATGCTAGTTGGTCGGGATCTCTGATGTCAAAAATCGACTCGAGCGTTTGGAAAATGCTGTCGATGGTTATCCCAGTATTGTAACAATAACCCACTAAAACCGGATTCCAATAATAAAGGGAATTAATAAAATGGTGAAAGGAAGGGTGATAATAAAGAAAGTAAAACTTATTGCTGGTTCCAATGCAGAGAGAGGAAGAGCGAGAGCAACCCAAAGAAAATGCTGCTGATCTGCGTGGGTGTGCAACGCTGGCTCTGTCGCTCTCGGATTTCCAATTCGGTAACGGTTAGGTTAGATTACACGCAACTACGTTTTTCTTTTAGGCAGCAGATAATAATTAAACTGTGAAAGACGTACAAGACCAACTCCACGTCTGAATGCCTGAGTGTCAAGCGACAAAAGAAAAGATATCTGGATGTCGAACTTGTGGTTCTAATTCGGGTGCTGGTCAGGCGAATAATGTGTTAGCTTTTTCATTTTACTCAAAACGTCACCTCGGTTGAGAGGATGGGATTGTGGAAATTGCGTCAGGGATCTAAGGTCCATGTCTATCTATTAGAACTTTGTTGTTAACATTTTCGGAGGTAGGATTTTGGAGTTGTATTGTAACATCTCTAAGATAATTGTCACGACGGGACGTGGAAAAGTTGTGAGTTCGTGAGGATTAACGAAATCAAATATCGACTGGTCAGTCCGGAAAGTGACTCAGTGGGTTTTTCCTGACAAACAACTAGAGGACTTTGGTCTAGGGGGAGATAAAAAAAGGAAATCGGTATGTGATGTCATCGTGCTCGAAAAGTTGCGGAACATGCTCGTTGAATATAACATTTAAAGTGTAGTAAGCAACATAAAATCATTACGCTCTATTTATAAAAGGATCTAGAATACGCGGAGTCCGCAGGATGTAACATATGGTAAACGTTAAATCGTGAACATTATTCGCTCAAAAATAACGTCGACATGTACGCGACCAATAGCAATCACAATCAACGTTTACCATATCTGAAAGACGGTATTGCAAAAACTCCCTATTGTGTTTGTTTATTATATTTACAAGCGTTGTGCGCCGGTTCATTGATCTCACGTCTGTACGAGGCCGCGTACGTAAGTGTGTGTGAGGTCTCCGCGCAGCTCAGTCTCCTTTAAGGGCGCACACTGCGTCACCTCGGTCGCCTTCGTGATGACGTGGACCTTGTCCTTTGTCCGAGCGGGATATTCTGGAAGACGAAGGCTTTTCGATCAAAATATTTTATTTTAATGCCAATTTTTAAAGCGTGACTCCGTCTCAGAGACAGTGTCATCTAACCTTAAATCAGCTGCTCGGAGATCAAGCGCAAGTTGACGTGTATACAAACATGCCGGCAGACACGGAACTGCCGTGCGTGTTTGAGTGATCACGCACGCGCGTGTGTTGATTACACTTTGTAGTCACAGACATCTATGTTATTATTAGTCTGCTAATTAGGATGAAATACATGGTTCTGAAAGCTATGTACTAAACTCATGTGCACATATTCTGCAGGTGGAAAATACTGATATCCGATTGAAATGAAAAAAATAATATATGTACACATATGTAACTTCTTATACACATAAATATGATGAATATCGTCCATATTACATCTTCTTTACCATTTACGCTGTGCATGCGCAGACGTTTACTTGCACTAATATATAATTTTCGAGGTTCAAAATTACCTCTAGAAACACAGGAGTTAGCAATCTAATGTAATATAGATGTTTGTATTTATCTGTGATTAGTTTTTTTTTAATCGTGTAAAGATAAGAACATATTGAGTGAACAGTCAACGTGTGATGTATATATTATATTCCTATATATTATATTTTTATATATATGTATGAAATATGATCAAATATTTTATTCTAAATGAAAGAACGACCATAAAAATCAATAGTGTTACATGAATTTAAATTAATACCTTCCTCTTTTTATTTTGACACGAACGGTAATTATCATAGTGTATAGTGTATATTCGCGACAAAAAAGGATGCGGTCTAAAATTAATAAAGAACATTCAAGTCACGCGAATATATTAATTCAAGCTTTTGAGACAATTGTTGAGACAGCGAGTCGAATAAATTTAGAAGTTTACGTAATTCAGCGGATTATTAGAAGCTTCTTTTGTTCAGCAGATATATTGTTTATTCTACTTGCACGGAGAACCGGAGAGTAGAGCATGCTTTCTTCATGTAATTGCCTTGTGCTTTCTTCACTTTGCGTGATACATATGCCGTCTCTCTCAAGGACAGTAGAAAAACGGTATAAGTTTGTCACATAAAAGTCATTACAGATTTAAATTCAGTTCAGAATTGGACAGATCGATTCCGACCGGTGTTCAGCCGGATTTTTCTAATCAGCTCGATGCTCGTCGACACCATATAATTTCGCATATCGCTTCATCTCAGCATACCGTTTGCATATTTCGTTTAGTTCGCGGCGCCACGATTGATTATTCGTTTTATTTTTATTTCTTTTGTATTGTTAATTATATAACCGATTCTGCTTGTGATCGCTGTTCCGACCATGACGTGGATACAAGGCATTAGAGACCATGAAAGAAGGAGGGCGTACTAAGGTGACGGGAGGAGACGCCGTGCGTTCGCGGGACCTGCATCTTATTTTCGTGCATTTCTATTTTCCGATGAGAGAAAAATATCGAGAGCGCGGTGGTAGTCGCTAAGACCGGGAATCGAACCCGGGTCTTTCGCTTGCCGGGCGACTGCTCTAAACCACTGAGCTACCTGACGCTCCACGCTCACGACATTCTCCTCTCCCTAGATAACGTTAAGAGATGTCGTTCGGAAGCGACATCTCTAGTGCTAGGCATGGAGAGAGCGAGGTGCGAACAATATTTCGAGTCATCTTCACTGTCTTGGATCGCTCCCCGAGGAGGAATTCGAGGAAATGCTTTCCGCATATGGTAACACCAATACTTAATGGCCTCTCCGGCCGAGATTCCACAGATTTATCAGCTATTAATCACCACATATGGCATGGCGGCTGCTCCGTTCCTGGCGCTTCGTATGCTCAAGCAACTTGTCGACGATGAAGGAAATGAATTTCCTCTTGCTGGTCTTCCTGGTTTTGCATGACCGAATTTATGTTGATAACGTTTTATTCGGTGACCATGACTTGCTTTGTATTAGACAAACACGCGATCATCTTCGGCAGTTATTGTCGCGTGGTGGTTTCGAGCTGCGCAAGTAGGTGACTAACTTTGTGGAACTGCTGGCCGACATCGACATCAATCAGCAAGGTTCTGTAGGTGATAGGCCGTTTCAGATCGACGAATATATTCAAATTCTTGGACGGAGCTGGAATTCGTCGCGTGACACATTCCAATTTCGAGTCATCTTAGATCAGTCTTGTCGCGACGACTTCCAGTTGCACTTCTACGGAGAGAACGACATGACGCCTTTGTCTTGCGAGCGCGACATTCCGAAACGTCTTTAATTGCTACACCGACACGGCAAGGACGCAGCTGCGCTACTTTAGCAGTTACGTGGCGCAACCGACCTCTTTGTCGTCATCATCTTCGCTCTTGGCATCGTTGTCGTCGTCTTGTTCCGTTTGGCCTATTGGTTCCATTTAGACTTAAAAAAATATTCGTAACAATAACATACATACATAACAACAATAACAAAATCAACAATATAGAACTTACAATATAAAAATTCTCCTCAAATATTCTCCACTTCCAGCATGTCCTCCATCTTCACGTCATAAAATACTTAATTCGGGATCACGCAGATGATGTTCAACTCTACCTCTCATTAGCAGGCGATATTCCTAGGCAATCATTACTAGGTTATTCTTAATATGTCGAAGACATGTTTTTTTAAATTGTTTTATTAAAATTGTTTTATTAAATTGTTAAATTTTTTTAAATTGTTCTATTCGTCTCACTGCGCTGTCACACTAATGCGCACTAACTTACCCATATTTGTGAATTAAGTCTCCTCCACCTTCAGCGGCTCCTTGCTCTTTCACGTCGCCTTCCGTACAATCTCGTCCACTCTCTTCGGCGTTTTTTCTGATGTGTCTCATATGTTTATCTAAAACATAAATGTATGAATTGTTAACAAAAAAGATATCACAAAAACTTCCGTAACAATAACATATATAAAATCAACAATAAAGAATTTACAATATAAAAATTCTCTTCAAGTCTTCTCCACTTTCAGCATGTCCTCTATCTTCCACGTCGTAAAATGCACTTGGCGCAAGACACTACCGTGTCTCTTGATTATTTAATATTAGTAATAATTAAAATGGAATAATTATTGCATATTAACATTTATAACGCATATGCATGTGTATGTGCATAATTGAATAAGAAAATCATAAAATTGAATATAAAAATTATAAAAATGGCATTAGCGTCATTTTGTGTCATTGCTAGAAATTGTCCGCGCGATCTCGAAATATTTCTTCCTGAATTACAAGTAGCGCGTTACGTGAAAAATGAGAAGGCGAAGGGGCAAAACGGGTGAGGATTCTAGCTTCGCAATAAAATCATAGCTGACTCTCCTCGTGCCTACTTCTGCCGCGAGGTCCGCTCATCGATGGTGAAACAAAGATGGAGAGCGATTGATCGTCTGTGCTTTTCTAAATTACTATCTTCCTTAAGAAAATAGAGTGAACAAGAAACGTGCATGCTTTGCCGTTATTGTCAGGATGGGCGTAGTATGCACATATTTTCTCAGGGGGCGCGTCGGAAAAAACGTCCCGGCGTAATCAGCCCGGTAGCCGCTCTCAGGTCTCTCTAATTGGAACACAGCCAGAGCAGTCTCAAGATCGTTGGGGTTAGAGAGATATACACAAATGGGGTTAGAGAGACTTGCAATTAACATTACCTGACATTAAATTCTAAAATATCCTAATTTTTTTTATTAAAGAAAGATGATGATTTGGTTTATTATTAAAGGATTTTTTACTAATTCTTATTTTTTTTAATAAAAGAAAGATATATAAGAAAAAATCGTGTGATTGTAAAAAATACAAGCAATTTATTCCTTTCAAATTTTACTTCATTATGAAAAATAAGAATATTTTTAAATGTAACATTGAATATAACGTTAAGTGAAGTTTATCATAATTTTTCTAACTATGTGATAGAAATTATGTGATGAAAAGAATATATGCTATATGCTCCATACTACAAATATAAACACAGTTATATGAGTAATTTTGCTATTTACTGGAATTAAATCTGAACAAGTATAAATATGGGTAATATGTAAATATATTTGACAATACCATTTCCTGAGTCATTAGACTTTGAATTGACTTCATCTTTATACTCTGTGGAATATGACATATCTATCCATTACTGACTGCCTATTTCTGTCAATATCTTATAGTTTATATATATATGTGTTTGTTTTATGTGTGTGTGTATATGTAACGATACGACTTCTTGAATCGTTACGCTGATTGTCACAAAACATCACGCGACAATCAGCTGAGCGCACGCCCCCCGACCCATGCTACCACCGCGCTTTTACAAGCGCTCACGAGCCTAGCCGAACACCCGGCAGGCACGCTCGGGAACGATCGGCCATCAAGCCGAACCCGCAGCACCGCCGAAAGGATAATCGGCGACCGCCGTATAATCGCGATTAATTCCGATCAAAATCGGAATAATCGACAATTCATATCCGAAGGAAACCGAACACAAGAAAACACGGGTATATAATCTCGGCAGAATTTGACAAAGGAGAGTCTTCGGAGTTCAGTCTTCTCGGATCGTTCTTCCTCAGGAGTATCACGGAGTACCTGCAGAGAGCCCCAGAGAATCGAAACAGCGTAAGTAATCTACCAGGCCGCAGTCGTCGGCAACCGCGATTACTCTGTCTTTGCGATTAGAGATCGAACGGCGAGTTTGTCGTTGCTCCGGTGAGTTTTCCGGAACGATCTTCCGGTATTATGTCGTCTTTGCGATTAGAGATCGAACGGCGAGTTTGTCGTTGCTCCGGTGAGTTTTCCGGAACGATCTCCCGTTTTTGTATGGTAAAAGTATGACTTTGAAATTTTCTGAGTTGTTAACGCACGACTTGTGTGTGCTGTTTTTTTATTGTGATACAAAAAGTTTATTCTATTTATTCCACCTTTAACAGAACCTACTATTAAGGAGAATATTAATTAAAAAATCGAAACGGTAAAAAATTATTTGGTATTTCTAGTGCCTTTTTCTTTTTCTATGTTCGTTTCTCTATTCTTTATTCTATCTTCTGCCTTTTGTTCTCTGTCCTTTAATTTTCTATATTTTACGTCTATCCTTTTGTATTTATTTTGTCCATCCTTTCTATCTATTCTCTTGTCTATCTATATTCTTAGAAAATGTAAAAAAGTATGTTCCTTTTTAATATGTGTATATATATCAACATTATTCTATATATAAAATAGTTATAATAGAGAAAACATTTTTTTCATTTATATTGATGGAACAGACATTTACATTTTCTTATTGACGGAAGAGACCACCACCTTCTCGCGATTTCCGTTGAGCAACAATATGTACGTTATTCTTTACAAAATAAATGTGCAATAGGTTAATGCATATAATCGCTAAATTATTTTGCTCTATTTCATTATATTTATTTGTTTAGCACACTATAGATTGCAATGTTAGAACAATTTAAACATTAAATTACATGATTTATTTTTATATTTCTTGTGTGCTAATAATAAATTATCTCTTAAATTAACATAAGTTATTTTTCCGTAACATAACATTATTCTTTTGCGAAAAAAACGTACATGTTGGCCAAGAGTGGATTGTTCAAATTATTACTCTCTCTCTCACTCTTTCTCTTGCCCATGCGAAAATATCATCGGCGAGTCAACGCGTATCTTGAAGCTAGCGGTGTGTTATAGCTATAGCTATACTATAGGAAAGAAAGAAATCGCAGATCGCGCTTTCCTTCTCTACTACCTGAAGCTTGCCAAACGCCGAGCGCACACGGACACGGCTTAACACGTGCATACGTTCCCTCTCCATATGCGCGGGTTTGGTGGCAATGCAGCGAATCTGACAGCTCTGCTCGGAGTAAGCTAGGCCAATCCGCTGGGTTCCCGATAAGCCAGGAAGGCCCTTGCCACCAAAGGACGTGTTCCTTCAGTCCGCCGACTAACAAACTCCGGGAGGCGCAATCCGCAGGATTGTCACCGGACGGAACATGTCGCCAAGAGGCATCCGGGATGACTTCGTGTATGAACGAAACGCGGTTGGCGACGAAAGTAGTCCATCTGGAAGGGTGTCCGCCAAGTCGAGGAAGTAATGGCGTAACTAGTTCCCTCGGTTTCCCCAAGAACCTAGAGAAGGCATTCCGATGGGGTTTTTAGTGGGTGCAACCCCCACATAACCCCGGCTCTCCCTGATAAAGGAACCAGGGTATCTGTTAGGGATTTTTCCCATCGTTAAAAAAAAAGGGTGTCCGCCAATCCAGTGGAGAGTGACAGAGGTGTCTGTCCAACAATAAAATGGCACTTCGCCACAACCGATAACCTTTATCGTGATCTACTATGAGGCGTGAAAACAGCTGCGCACCACACAGCTCCAGACGGGGCAACGACACCCGCCTCTGGGGGCGACCCTCGTCTTGGCCGCCAACAGAGTGACTGGTGTGGTCCCATCGGACCGTCGAGCCTTTAGATAAATGACGGCAGCATACGCCCTTTCTGAAGCGTCAAAGAAACCGTGAAACTGAGTTTCTACTTCAGTGGGATCCGGTCCAACGAGAGACTCGGACTCTGGAAACCTCCGTGACCCCGCTCCTAAAGGAGTCCCATCGCCGAGCTAAAGCAAGAGGAAGAGCCTCGTCCCAGTCGAGTCCGGCTAACCATAAATCTTGTAGAAGGATCTTAGCCACTACTACAATAGGCGTCAGCCAGCCCATTGGGTCGTACTATCGGGCAACGACGGATAAGATGCTGCGTTTTGAAATGGTAGAAGAGGCATTGACCTTGACCGAAAATCAGAAGGCATCCTCGTTCGGAATCCGACCTCAAGCACTGAGACCCCTACGGTCCCGGGGTCCGGCAGCGATATTAGTGGTTCTTGGTCTCCTTTCGGGACATCGGACAAAAGCCCCGACTGAGAGGCCGCTCGCTTCCTGAGGCAGAATCTGCCCGCCATGAGCAGATTGCGCAGTTCGCACTGCCGCTGGCGTGCCTCCTCAAGGGAATCAGCTCTCGCAAGTATATCGTCTACATATGTTTGTCGTCGCAGCAACTCTGCCGCCCGGGGATAGCGTTTCTCCTCATCCAGCGCAAGCTGGAGCAGTATGCGGATCGCCAAGTAAAGAGCACAAGCCGTGCCATAGGTGACCGTGGCCAAGCGGTATACCCCCATTAATTGCGTTTGGCTGTCTCGCCAAAGGATCTGTTGGAGGTGTTGATCCTCCCAAGCCACGCGTATCTGTCGAAACATCTGCTCGATGCCTGCAATAAAGGCCACCCGATGCATACGCCAAGCAAGCAGGACTTTTCCAAGATCTAGTTGCAGGTGCAGCCCCACGTGCACCAAGTCGTTGAGAGACCGGCCGTTGGTGGACACCTGCGAGGCATTAAAGACCACGCGGACTCTAGGATCGGGGGCTCGTTTAATTATTGGGTGATGCGGCATAAAGTACGATGGCCGTGGTTGCTCGACACCGAGTGGCAGACGGACCACATGCCCCTGCTGTGTATAGTCGCTAAAAAAGGCGATAGGCTTCGTTTAAGGAAGGCTGCTGGAGCAAGCGCCGCTCCAAGTAGTGAAGTGAGGCAATGGCAACCCGCCGAGTATCGCCGAGAGAGAGCTCTGTCAGGGAGGCCTTCAATGGCAAACGCACCTGATAACGGCCGTCCGAAAGACGTCAAACGGACGTTGTGAAGAACTCCTCGCAAGCTCGTTCCTCCTCTGAGAGTATGGAGGCGACTGGAACCTCTTCCACCTCCCAGAAATGCCGTAACAGGCTGGCCGTATCGTCCTGTGCACACTGCACAGTATGGCAATGAGAGTTGCCTGGTCGGGCTACCGACGGAAGAGCCCCAAACAACACCCACCTCAAGCGGGTACGTTGTGCGATGGGAGCTCCTCATGGTCCTCGGCGAATGCTAGGCACCAATATCTCGGCAAATACTTCCGCTCCAAGTATCGTCTCAGTACGCTCGGCCTTATCGGAACCATCCGCCAATTGAAGGTCCTTTAAATGCGCCCACTTCCCCGTCAGCTGTGTCATCTGGGGAGGGTGGTACGCCGTAAGTCGCGGTAGGATCAGGGTCTCCACCGTCGTGGAGAACGGGACGCCAGTAGTTGCCTTTAACTGCAACGATATGCTGGCACGTACTCGCTAAGGGCGCCCCTCAGAGATGTCCGACAATCTCACATCCACTCGGGCCAATGTCACGGAAAGCGTCAAGGTGTTGGTCCACCAGCAAACGACGGTTATCATACCGTGCACATAGCGCATCCCACGCCTGCTCAAACGAGCCAGTGGCGACGCCGTAGTGTCGAATCAGACGCTCGGGCTCCCCTGACACACTCTGTTTTAAATAATGCATTTGGTGAACCGATGCTAAGGACGAGTTTTCGACGATTAAGGACTCGAAGAGATCCTTAAAGTTGCGCCATTCGTCCAAACTTCCCTTCAAACTTCAGAATGGAAATGCGAGGCAACGAAGTCTCGTGCACGACCGCTTGCGCGGGAACTGCGTGAGCAGTCGACTCAGCCTCCTGAGCCCTCAACCTATCCAACAGGTTTTGGATTTCTGCGCCCTGCACGATGTATACTTCCTGTGTCGTACCACAGGCATCTTGTCGCACGTAATCCGAGTCCCGCACAGTCTTGAGGCGAGACGTTCGGATAATGCGATGATCGTCTTGATACTAATCAGTAGGTATCGAGAATCTGCATACGAGACGCCAGCCCGCCAACTGATTTCAGTTGACTGGACTTGCGCGCATTTTCCAGCAGTCGCTCCATGCAGTGCTGCTGGTCGTATTGCAGCTCAATGAGCCAGTGAATTTCCTCCTCAGACGTCATAATGAAACTCGAGCTAAATAGCAAGACACAGGTTCGAGACTACCGCTCCCGATCCGGCTCGAAAGACCAAAATTATGTTCGGAACGCGACCGAACATAAAATAGCTCCGGAGAGCTGGTTGGTGAATTTCGAATCGCAGAGCGATGTCCGCCCGCAACTATGTCGCTCGAGCAATTGGACAACCGACCGATCGTCCTCGCCGACGTCTGAGTTATGTCGTAAGGCTGTCAAAAGCCTTGCAAAAACGCGCAACACCGCGTGCCAATAGCACCGTGCCCAGGGACGGCGGCGAAAGCAAGAGAGAGAAAGGACACGCACGTGACGACGCAAAGAGGTATTCAAATGTAAAACGCAACGGACGCAATAGAAATGCAGTAGAAACCCAAGTGGAATAACACAGAAGAACAACGCAGAAGGAACGCAGTAGAAACACAGCTATTTACAAGGCGAAGGCGAAGGCGTTCGCCAGCGCAAAGTCCCGGAGGACACACACGTTAGTGACGTCAACGGGGAGCAGCACCCGGAGCACGCCAAAGTACGCGGAAGCGAAACGACCTCTGTCGTTTCGGAAGGCCTGCCCTTCCGGACGCAACGGCCTACAGCCAGCCAGGATCCCGAGGACGTGTGGAAAAGATCGCTGAACTCTAGCGAGCAGGGAGTGACCAAGCCGTTCCCGCGAGAAGACCAAGTTCTCCTACGGATGCTTGGAAGAAAGAGCTCGAAGGCAGCCGGAGCCGCTCCTGAATTACGGCAACGCCGTGAACACAAGAATAGAAGACGAGATTCGAACCATTTAAGCCTCAACCCAGCAGAGTGTGTAGAGCGGTGGTTCGAATCCAGAACGTAAGCGCACGACCGCTTTAGGAAAGCCTAGAAAGCGCGTCGGTAACCAGCAGTGCGATAAATCCGCACTAAAAAAAGCAGCACAGATTGTCATTGAGAACGGCCAAGCAAATGATATGGCAAAAGACAAGATGAAGCAAGGCAAGGCGCGCCCGGTTATATAGCCGGGCGGCTGAATCTTGCATGCGGGTAGTGGAATCATGGGCTGCGCTGCATAGCGGCCACGGTCGGAGCTACCAGTCAGGCGCGGGGCGCCAGCGGAAGTCCCGCGCGCTCGCTCGCAAGAAACCGGCGTCCCTCGCCGCTTGCGAGAACGCCCCGGGAGCTAGGCCGCTCGCCCCGCAGTGCCGATCTGCTAGTCGACTTTCTGCACGGCAGCCCGAGCTGTACGGAACAGGGTGCTAGATGATTTTTCAACAATATCAGACAATAACAGACTATTCTTCTATCATTATTTTTACGAAAATTCATATTTTTGGAATAAAGATTCGTGAAAATTCATGATCTCGGAAAGAATATATTTTCCAATTATTCGTACATTTTTTTCAGAATCTTGCCGAAAAATGCTCCCTGGAAAATCCCTCACATACCTATTTTCATAGGAAAAGAAATTAATTTCGGATCACACGATTAAGAATCTAAGCGTTGCACTCAATTCTTCATCCATTACAACTGCCATATTGGATCCGCCATTTTCAATTTTGGACACCTGACTACGGAATGTTCATGAGCGACCCGAAAACCTCCCAGATATCGATTCTCATTCACGGCGCGCTCCCACTCCTCAGTTCTGTCATTAATAACTCGATAATTATTGCGAATCTCGCAAAACGGTATGGGACTTTTATGTTTGTCTTAACCCAACTACCTTCATACTTCGGGTTGTAAACTTATAACCCCCCATCCTGTATATTGGAATTAAAACCTAGATTTATTGTATAGCCTTTATTCTTTTTTCATACATCATGTCTCTGTTTCTTCTATTGTCTGAAGAAAAGAAGCTTTTCTTGAGCTGCACGATTCTTTTTTTCTGCTAATGTTAACTTAGCACGATCCCACTTCTTCCTGATTGGTTCTTTATCTTTCACGATCTTCGTGGATTAGCTCGGATAGCTTCGGTGAGCTTTCTTATAGATGTTCTTGATCTAAATAAACGATATTTTTTTTTGTTTAATGTCTATATACAAGGTATCTCAGAACTTTGGGACATGGGCTTCGTAGGGATATAGAATTAAGTGAGAGGAACAAAAAAGTCCTTTACCATAATGTGAAAATCGTAATAATTCTTTAGTAATAACCGCGTAAAATTTGGCGTTTTCCACGCCCATCGCGGCCTATAGACGCTCCGCGGCAAGCTGTATACGTAGAGGCTGAGCGATAACGCGTCTCGTGCTGACTATCGCGATGGCATCTTGGTGCTTTGACGTCGCGCGACGGTCAGCGCGAGACGCGTTATCGCTCAGCCCCTACGCATACAGCTTGCCGCGGAGTGTCTATAGGCCGCGATGGGCGTGGAAAACGCCAAACTTTACGCGGTTATTACTAAAAAACTATTACGATTTTCACATTATGGTACAGGGCTTTTTTGTTCTTCTCACTTAGCTCTATGTCCCTACGGAGCCCGTGTTCCAAAGTTCTGAGACACCCTGTATACTAAGTTTTCCAAAAGTAACGGACCCCCTATCTCAGAATCTATGCATTATAGGGAAAAATGATTCGTACAAAAGTTTCAGAGTTCATAAAGTTCTGTTTTTTGTGACCTTAAATTTGACCTTGACCTCGAACTTGAAGGTCATTTGAAGGTCAACTTGCGTTTTTTAAATAGGAACCCCTATTTTTTATTACACTGTTTTTTTCTACCAATTAATTTAAATAACTTTTGTTTAAAACAATTTTTTATTTGCTTAATAGTTTTTGAGATATTTGAAGAAAACTTGATCTTTTCCAATTATTACTTACGATATCTCCCTAACTATTTATCGGAAGACAAAGTGGTACGAGACTTTTCTGCTCTATTTAACCTCAAGAATATATTGTTATAATAGCGCCCTGACTTTTGTTAATTTACTGACTTTTGGAAATTTCAAAATCATAAAATTAACAAAAATCAGGACACTATTGTAACAATATATTCTTGAGACTAAATAAAGCAAGAAAGTTTAATGTCACTTTTCCTTCCGACACATAGTTAGCGAGATATCGTAAATTAAATATTGAAAAAGTCATTAAGTTTTCCTCAAATATCTCAGAAAATATTAAGCAAATAAAAAATGTTTTAGACAAAAGTTGTTCAAATTAATTGGTAGAAGAAAGTAGTGTAATAAAAAATAGGGATTCCTATTTAAAAATCGTAAGTTGACCTTCAAATGACCTTCAAGGTCGTGGTCAAGATGAAATTTGAGGTCACAAAGAAACAGAACTTTATGAATCCTAAAACTTTTGTTCGGATCATTTTTCCCTATAATGCATAGATTCTAAAATAGGAGGGTGATCCGTTACTTTTGGAAAACTTGGTATATACATACACATGGATTAATGGTAACATAAGTTTACTTTGATAAATGCATATTGAAACATGCATTTATATTTAATAACAAATAAAAATTATTGTTCAATTGCGACGCTGCTTAAATTTATAATTTAAATAGCAATTATAAGTTGAACGTATATTTTTATACATTAGGATAATTTGTATATATATTCAAAGTTATATTTTAACTACTTACATCATTTGCAGAAATTTCACATTTGATATATTGCAAAAATTATCTCTTGAAGGCTTTATCATCCTTCTCTTCAAGAGTTCTCATATAGTTGGCCACATGACCAAATATAGCTGTTTGTGGATCTCTGCATTGAATGTTTTGGATTCGTTATCATAACTGAGAAATCTCTTAGTGCTATAAAATAAGATACAAAATCGTTAAAACAGCTGAATTATAGGATACAATATTTTGAAAATCATGCAACTAAATTTATTACTTTTAGGAAATATTGAGGTCACCATCAACTGCATCTTTCATAGCCTCAAAAACTTGGGCGCCTGTTGTATAGTACATATTAGACACAGTATCCAAGTAACATTCAAATACACCTGGACCATCGTTTGATTCCTCGACATTGTATGTCACCAGATATTTCCGTGTTACCAATATACAAAGTATCCAGGGCTAATTTCTTCAGCAACTAAGAAAACAAAATATTGATTTTAACATTGGCTAATTTCTCAATATAATCTACACATATTTGACAATTTTATCGTCAGAGTATGATAATTGGGAACTTCAATTTTCTTCAATTAAACATCAAAGCGAGCTGAGGTTATCATCATGTTAAAGATCACTTCATATGTTTTTGAAGTATATTTTGGAAAGTAATTAGGAAAGATAACTTACCTTGTAAAAAATAAGCCAGTGTAATATGCAGATCCATAATTAGTAAGGCCTACTTTTATTCCATATTTCGGAAGTTCATGGTTGTAGGCAACACATAGAATTTGATCTTCTTTTATTCTTGAATATACCATCTTATGATATAATATAAATTAGTTATAATATACTATTTATACGAATTACAATACAAGTTTAATACAAAATATTGCAAAATACATTAAAGCTAAATATATTATTCTATTTACCTGACAAATAATACCTTTGTTAGAGAATCATATAATCAACCCAGCAAACACAATATTACATGTAACGTGCATGTTAGTTGTAATTTCCTACTCAACAATATAACTGTTATATAACACATGTGTTATATATATATATTATATATATTATAATTGAATGTATATTAAGGGAGAATTATGGTTCAGATCGCTCTAAAAAAAGATAAATTTAGAAATTGTTTTCAGGAAACTAAAAAACTGTGATTAAATTAAAATTTTATGGGGAGTTTTACACATATTTAATAAAAAAATATAAATTTTTACAAAGTATTTCATTTAGATTTGGTTAAATTATGTGCTGTTTCGCACGAGGCATCGCGTGTTGTCACGATTTGCCGTTGACATTCTAGTGTCTGTTTGAGTGATCTGAAGCATAAATGTAAAGCATTTTTTTTAAATATCAATGCTTCTATAGCGTGAACCTCAATCCGGATAAAAAGATATACGATTTCCTTAAGAAAAAAACTTGAATTAAAAAAAAGTTCGATTTTTCTTCAACCTTTTAACACTTTTTCACCAAGAAAATAGTTTATTATTAACCTTTTATTAGTTTCATATATTTACTGCAAAGATATAACTGTTATATTGAATTATCTAAAAGCACTGAAGCCGATTCGATTATAAGTTTTTGAGTTTTAATGTCAATCGACTTGTAAAACGTAGTTTCGAGAAAAACGCATTTAAAGTTTTGGTTACTATTTCTTCATACTTACAATGTTTTTGGCTAATCTGCTATTCCTGGTCCGTAAAATAACCCTTCTGATTCTTCGTAAAAATCGTGTAATTTCTTTATATTGCTTTGACTGGCCATACGAGCTTTTTTTGCAGTATTAGCACTCTTGATTTCCGTATGTGTGTGTCGCTGTTTATCCGCGTAATCAACAAACAACTTACATTGTTGACCAATAATTACTCCCATTGTCTCCATAACTTTTAGAATGGTAATGTAACCCTCGTTAAACATTCCCGCAGCCAAATATGCACAAGATTCAATAACTTTTGACCCAGAATGAAGATGTTTCGGTGCGAGACGGCAGATCGTTGCGTTAAAACTCTCGTTATTATTTCGAATATTTCCGCCTAAGCATTGTTCTAACAAGTCTAGAGATGATAAGTCCTTATAAATAGACTTTATTGCTCTTTGGACATCTTTGTGAAGTGGTGGATCGTGGTGAAATTCGGCAAGATTATTCACGGCTTCAGCGCGACGCCACTCACACCAGCTGTCCGGTCCCGGGGGACAATACATATGTTGCGGTTTTTTATCTGTAGAACATTTATGATAGAATGTAGCCCATATTGCCTTCTTCATTTCTTCAACGGAATGCGAATTTCTTCGGATGGCTAAACCATAGTTTACTGTTAGATCTGTTATTAACGAATTGGTTAATCTTCTTTTCCCTCCAAGTTTCTCAACCTTCTTTTTGTTTCGAAGGCACGAGCCCATTCTTTTCTGCACGTGCCCAATGCACTCACATTTTTTAATTGGCTTTTCTTCATAAGGATTGAAATCTAAAAGTGCTTTAAAAGTTTTAGAGTCACCATCACTGATGTAAGTAGTATATTTAACTCCGAATTTTTCCTCTGATTTTAGGAACATTTCTTTCATTGAATCAACCTTCATTTTACCAGCAGAATCAAAATTATTAACATCGCAGATATCTTGGTGATTTTCAGCCCAAATCTTGTAATCTTCAGTACCTTCCTTATTTTTCCAAAAAGCACATGCCTGACAGTAGCTTGATTTTACTACAAAATCTATTACTTTGCCAGTATATTTTCCTATAAGAGTAGATATGCCAAATAAAGAGCTGAAACCTTGTTTTTTCCATGAACCATTTCCAGAAACAGTTAATTCATCAGCAGGTTTTCCATTTTCTACGTTTTGCTCTTTTTCTTCGTTTACAGCTTTTTTACTAAAAATGTTGAACATAGCTAATGCTGCAGTATGTATATTTTTTAAAGTCGCATAGTACGTTGATATATATATGCCCTGGCCCATATCCATAAGGCCACAAAATAAATTTAATCCTTCTCTACCGATTCCTAGCAGTCTCATAATAAGAACTATTCTTCGGTTAATTTCGTAAGCTCTGTCGACAAGTGGACACGAAGACACATACTGCATTCCACATGTACAGCTTATTCTGATTTTAAATCCCAGGGCGTGTGTACCTGATTCACTAAAATTTACTTGTCCTTTACATTTCTTACAAATCACAAGCTGAGAAAGTGCGGAAAATACTGTATAAAATTCTAAAATACGATATCCGTGATTGGGATTTATTTGAATATCTTCGTTATTGTTCACTTTCAATTTTTGCGCTGCTGTACTCGTAAATGAAGTTTCATGTTCGAATGTAAATTGATTGCCTTGAAATTTTCTTTTCTTATGTCTGTCTTGACGACCAGAACTTCCTCTTGGGTACTTTTTCTCCATGATAATAAGTACGTCTACTCGAGTCAAGATTCAAGAGGGAACTAAGTTTGAATGACCATTAGAAATTATAATCTTGCTGAAGATGTACATACATATAAAGGCCACTGTATATGGAGAAGATCCTGCTTATTTGGATGCTCTGTTCCTTCGACAACAAATAATTTCCACTTGCTCCGACCCGTATCTGACAGCGTCGAATGGTCGGACGTTAAACCGCTCATATCTTCGTTAATATTTCGAATTTCGAAAAATCGCTACACCGACATATTCTTAAGATGTACTATAAAAATATGTAAAAAAAATTTTTTTTCGAGTTTTTGAAAGTTTGAATCCATAATCCTTCCTTAAGGAAGAGTGATATCAAGGAAAGTAATATTATTCTTAATATTACGAAAAGATAACCTCAAACGTACCATCTCGCCCGAGTAGCTCAACCGCACGTTTCAAATCCTTGTCAGAAAACAAGAGGCTGTATTCAGGAAACACAACGGTTACACAACGGTTGAGTAATTTGCGTTATTGATCTGAATGTTACAATCTAACAGTAAAGACCAATAGTCACTAATCCCTTAGTGAACGCTTTGTTCTTTGAATACAGTCATTGGATATAGACACAGACTCCCTTCTTGGATAACGAGTGACAAGTTTGTCAGTGCCACCATAGTCCGTACTCGAATATGTTCAAACTAAAATAAGTCACGTGACGCAGAGTAAGGATACGCGCTATATTTAAACCCATGCACGCGCGCTTATATAGGATGTCTCATTTTAAAAAAGCAAAAATCTCGAAAAATATGAAAGATGCTAGAAAACGTTTCAGATAAAAGTTATATGGTTTCATAAAACAACTATATCATTTTGTTTATAGATAGTGCCACTTTTGAGATATTCATTGATTATTACTTTTCTTAAATGAAAACCCCAATTTTTTGTTATATCATCTTCTTTTACTAATTAATTTTAACAACTTTTGTTTGAAATATTTTTTATTCGTCTAATATTGTTTGAGATATTTAAGGAAAATTTGATAACTTTTTCAATATTTAACTTACATCTCGCTAACTATTTGTCGGAAGAAAAAGTAGTACTAGACATTTTACTTTATTTAATCTAAAAAATATATTGTTGTAAGTAATAGTACCCTAACTTTTGTTAACTTATCGATTTTTGGAAATTTCAAAATCATCAAATTAACTGCGAACTTATTGCTTGGAAATTTAATTCTACGAGACATAGAACATAGAAACATAGAGACATAGAACGAAGTAAGGATATAAATGTTCGCATTATCTTCGGTGTAGCTGAAACAATCGGTATTGTCATGACTTTTAAATTACCTCCAGGTCTTTCAGAGCTCTTTTGCCAATAGGAAAATTTATGTTAAAGACTGCCAGCACTTACGAAAATTCTGACAGTCTTTAACATTACCTCGTCGATATTGATATTTGATACTTTCCGATGTCTTTTTCCCATTATTCCATATCTGCTATCATTTACGCTTATTTCGAGTCACAGCTTCATATTCCAGCCATGATATTCCTAAGAGGGCGTTAGCGCTCAGAAAGATTTCTCTGATATTTTAAATCCCGTAAAACTGACGGTCTTTATTAATATCTCGTCGGTGGTCACATGCTACTTGAGAGTAAAAGGTCCTTTAAAACTAGTCATTGAGTCCTATTGAATGCTTCGCGACACTAGATGGCGCCAGGTAACCCACCAGCCATGCTTCAACGCGTCTAGCCGGTCGGTCATCACTCCAAAGCGAAGCTTTTTTCCATTGAAGAAGAGACATCCCAGACAGCACCAGACATCCAATGGATGTACGTTTCACGTCCAATTTATGTCCGTATGTCCGATTTATGTCCGTGGACATGAATTGGACGTAACAAGGATGTCCTTATTGGACATCGGACCTGTAGGACGTCCGATGTACGTCCATCGGACGTCCTATGTCCGAAGTTATGACAAACGTACGTCTTATGGACGTTTCATGTAAAAAAAAATGGACATATAATGGACGTCCAATGGACATCCGTGTGCTGTCTGGGATCATTCTTAATAAAAAGTCAGGACATGCGATGTGACTGAACAGTAAATCGAAAGCTCTCTTATCTCTATCCAAGTAGCAGACTGATGTCAAATGACGTACTAATGACATCTTAATGACATTAGCTAACGTCATTAAGACGTCATTAGTACGTCATTTGACGTCAGTTTGCTACCAGGGTATGTAGCACGTTTGAGCGATAAGTCGAAAGGCCTTTCATGCGATTAGTGTGATTCAGCAATGAATTATCTTCTATGATTTCTGTAACTTCCTACATATTGTTGTCACATGAAATCGCGGTTACAAATATAACGGTCACATATATCACACGATTCAACCGAAAGCTGACGTGACTCTAAGTTCAAGATTGATAATCTCAAGAGAGACAATCTCCAAGTAACGACTTGATACGAGTCTCTCTCTTTCTCTCCCAACGATCTCTCTTCTCCCAACGATAAATTCATGAGCATCATGAGATATCGTCAGTAATCAACACCGCGATCCAAAGTCAGCGATGCGTGATCGCACGCAAGTCAGAAACGGAGATTTTTCTCCCCGTCGTTTACTCGAATGTCTCCGTTTCTTTTCAGCGTATCTTCGCCGTTGCCGCCATAGCTCGCTCGACTTGCAATCGCGAGCGTCACGTTCGATTCTCTCCGTCTCGATACTTATCGATATCCGCCGTTTGCGAATCACCTGTTCGCGCTTGGGGCGCGGACGCGCGTGCGTATAGTGGCGCCGCCGGGCGACGCGACTGAGTACTCAGTGGCAGGCAAGATGGCCGAGCGGTGGTGACGGGTCGTGGTATGCACGGCTGGTGGACTCGCGATCACGGTGCAGCGCGAATGGCCTAGCGATGGCCGAGTACAACATCGACATCGGCAAGCTCCCGGAGGACGTGCGGGAGAAACTCGCCGAGTTGGATCTCGAGCTGTCCGAGGGTGAGTGACTTTTCCTCTGACCGATCGGCGAGCGATGCGATCATCCGCCGCCCCTCGCGGTGCGAACCCTCGTCCGTCTCTCTCTGTCTCCTTCTTTCTCTCTCGCTCTCGCTCTCGCTCTCTCTTGCTCCCGCTCCGGCCCTCTCGTTCTTTCTCACTCGGCCTTTCTTTCTGCTCCGCTCCTCTCTGTCTCGCTCCTTCTGACTCACCCCATGCAACACCGAGACAGAATCCCCTAGAAGCCCTCGTTTGTTGATAAAATCGATAACACCTTGCGGCCGTTGCCGTCTCCGTTCGCCATGCGAGGAGAGCGCGAGAGCGCGAGAGCCGCGCGATTTTTCAGGGATGCTCCGACTCGCGACTCGTCGCTGCAAACGGCGACCGGCGCCGTTCTTTTTATAAATCGAGCGGCGAGCAAGTGCGCATTAGTCGCGAAAATCGTTAGCCCTCTGCGGCGACCAGGAGGAGGACGCGAGGGAGCGCGAGGAGACGACACGAGGAGAGGGCGAAGCTCGAGAGAGAGAGAAAGAGAGAGAGAGAGAGAGAGAGAGAGAGAGAGAGAGAGAGAGAGAGAGAGAGAGTCGCAAGAAAGTACGGCGGATTCGAGTTGCCGGTGCGCGCAGCGCACTTCTCGATAACGAAGGACATGGGTTTGCCATTTCTCCTTATCTATTCCTAAACAATCGCAATGGCCGCCCACCCCCTTCGGCACCGTCGAGACCGGCCGGACGCGTTCCGATGCAACCGATGCGGCCTCGCTCCCGGCTCGTTGCGCGTTAACACAAGACGTTTTATCCCCTTGATGAGGTTACGTCGCGTCGTCTCGGCTCCGTTCGTCCGATCATCGGAGAAACGTCAGCTCGAAATCGCCGCATCTCTAGCCCGATCTCGAGGAGTCGCCGAACGGGCGAGTCTCGTCGCGCAGAGCTTTCGGGTCGCGACGGTCCCGATTCTCGACAATTGTCGCATACGATATTTCATGAATGTCACTAGTTATCACGATTCTCAGCCAGTTAAATTGTCTGATTGATGAAATATCATATATGATATCTTTTACAAATTTTCCAGAATAAAGGGCTCGCATTTTAAAAAAATGTATACGATATTTCATGAATGTCACTAGTTATCATGATTCTCGGCTAATTAAATTGCTCCATTGATGAAATATCGCACGATATTTCTCACAAATTTTCGAGAATAAGGGCTCTGTTCTTCTCAGCTGAGGCAGGTTGCGCTTCTCGCCTGCGGAGTGAAACGAGCGTGTCACCTGATTCTCAGATATATCAGGGTTTATATTGATTTCGTATTAGCTCTTCGGTCTGTTCTCGCTTCCTGAAGTGGCCTGCGCTACTCGCGCTTGAGCGAGAGGAGAGCAAATTTTGCATTTTTTTCTCGGCGCAATTTGTCTCACGCAAATCAATGTTGCATCTCACCTTTGTATGTAAAATACGTCCGGTAGCCGTGAATAAATTAATAATAATAATAATAATTAATAATGATAAACCGAGCGCGTAGCTGAATTTTTTTTTAAGAGAAGTTGAGTCGATATTAACCTCGAGGATAATTGAGTTAATTTTCATCAGGTATATGGGGTGTTTGAGAAAGAGGGCTGAGGACTTTAAGGGCGAACAGTATGAGTATCTCGCGCAAGATGGAGGATAGGGGTCCTGAAATAAACAGGGTCGACACATTGATATCGTCGGCGTTACGAGTAATTATTTATTTCAATTGAAGCGAATGAAATTTATCGCAGCAATGCGACATCATTCTTGCCGGGCCCATGAAAACTTTGTGACAACTCTCTGCAGTCGTTCGCTCTGTTTAAGAGGTTATGTGATTAACAACGCTCGGTGAAGCGTTGTACAAACGGGGAGAAGATAAATATTTATTTATATTTTAAGAGCAAGAAACTCTTTTTCTTCTCATTTATTGAATATAGAAGGATGTTTCTTTAGGGATTCCTTTAAAGCACGGTTCTCTTTCTCTCTCTCTCTCTCTCTCTCTCTTCAGCGGTAAATCACATGGACAGGTTACATCAGAGAGTACAAAAGCAGCAGAAGCGAGCGAGTCACTTGCTTTGATTGAAACAAATAATTGTTCGTAGCTTAATTTAATATTAATTTTTCGACTCGTGTTTATTGGGACTTTTTCCCTCGATTTTGCGAGTACTATCTGCTCTTGATGTCCTGAAACTTTTCCTTTAAACGTCCTGTATAACTTCATTTTCAAAGAGAAGAAAAGAGAAACAAAGTTCCGTGTGCGGATTCTTCTTCGAGGGGGAAGGGGAGGGAAGAGCATGTCGTTGTAGAAAAGCTTCTTGTAAAATTTGCAACGCAGCGCAGGTGTTCAGCCTGAGAGGAAGACAGAGGCCCTTTGTGCTTCCGGAGGAATTTTTACGCGGGACTTCATACTTGCCGGGCATCTCCGAGTGCTCGACTCGCTCGCTCGCGCGATTCGTCTTCGTCCGATGACATTTCTTTTCGCTCGCGATCAAGGTCGTGCTCGGCTCCTTCGCGCTGTGACGCGGACTTTTCGCCGGTTGTGTAAGATCACAGAACGACGCAGAACGAATCCGTTTCGGCTTTTCCGCCGTGCGCGCGCGCGCGCGCGCGCTGTGCTAACGCACTTGGGAATG